TTTAATTTAATCCATTTTACATTTAGTCATTTAGCAGTTGCTTTTTTCAAAAGCAACTTACAATTGAGGAGAACTCAACAAGAATAGGCAATACACTCAAGAAGTGCTAATCATACAAAGTAAATTGTTTGTGCTCAGAGAATTAAGTGCTCGAGTTATTGCGGTTTTTCTAGAGAGAGGGAGAGAGAAAGTGCTTTTACAAGTGGTCTTGGTTTTATTCAGTGGGGTGCTCTCAGAAGATGGATTTTTAGTTGTCGTTTGAAGGACACCAGTTATGATGATTATTTAAAATTATATTGTCCTTTTTAATTTAAATGTTTATTTTCTAGAGTATAATTTAATATCCATACTGTCTGCATAATGACATTATTACATTTGGAAGGTCCACAGGCAATTGTGCAAACTCCAAATATTCAAAATCACAAGTTTGTAAGGCATTATTTTAATAATAATGAAGATTTGAGTGTTATGACCCGTTATCATATTTTATCCATGAACTATATGTTGTTGTGATATAGCGATTTCAAACATTTGTGTCTCCAGATAAGCAGTTAGTGAGCGAGCTGAGACATGTGAAGAAAACATACACCCTTGTTGTTGATACCCTGACCAACACATAACAGTACTGAAACAAATGTGGAAACTGGCAACGGCTGACAACAGGTCTGTTCCATGAAAATAAAGCCTGGGACGCACCAAGTCAATGCCAAAGAGCAAGCGCAGACCAAAAACAACTTTGTCATTATATTATATTCATTTTTTCATTCATTTTCTTTTTGGCTTAGTCCCTTTATTAATATGAGGTCGCCATAGCAGAATGAACCGCCAACTTATCCAGCACATGTTTTAAGCAGCGGATGCCCTTCCAGCTGCAACCCATCTCTGGGAAACATCCATACACACTCATACATACTCACCTGTACCGCATGTCTTTGGACTGTGGGAGAAACCAGAGCACCCGGAGGAAACCCACGCGAATGCAGGGAGAACATGCAAACTCCACACAGAAATGTCAACTGACCCAGCTGAGGCTCGAACCAGTGACTTTCTTGATGTAAGGCGAGAGCACTACCTACTGCACCACTGCATCACCCTCTATTATATTTATAATAAATATAAATATGTTTAATAATTCAAATTCTGGTTTTGTCCATATTTTACTCAAAGTTAGAGTAAAACAACAAACTTTTTTTCAGAATGTACATGTTTAATGGTTGTAGCTGCACTGGTCTAAATAAAATGATAGCCACGCTTTATACTGATGTCTTTGCTGTTTATTTGTTTCTCTCTCTCCCTTTGCAGTACACACTATGAAAACTACAAGACTTAAAGCATATAACATTCAAAATGTGCATTTCTCAGAGTCCTTTTCACAGTCTCTCACTTAAATGTTGTGCATATGAACATGTGCGACAACTCTGAATCCAGTAACATCAGTCTTTAAACACAGCATCATTCATGTAAACTGACAGATTACAACACTATACACAAAATGTAACAGAATTAAATATAAATTACCGTGTGCGCCCTCTTAGACCATGCTGTTTAATGATCTCTTTCTCAGGCTCTATAGCGCTGGCTTCTTTCTGCCACCATGTCATTTTCACCCAATGCAGTGCTCCCGCACTTCAAACAACTTAAACATGTGATCTGTTAAGCTCCAATAGCACTTTTTCAAACCCATAACTTCCTACAATTTCAAGGGTGAACATTCATGAAAATAAATGTTTACTGTGTCAGTATAACAACCCTAGCCTATATATAATGTTGAATATGATGCAAAACGGAATCTAATAATGACAAAATTCTAATTTTACCAGGAAAACAAATGGTCTAATGTTGTCAATAACAGATGACAAGCACATGTCTTAAACATAATAAATCAACTTTATAATTATGAATAGTTATATTCTGATGTGTGTGTATGGATGTTTGCAGCTGGAAGGGCATCAGCTGCGTAAAACGGCTGCTGAATAAGTTGGCAGTTCATTCCGCTGTGGTGACCCCGGATAAATTAGGGGACTAAGCGGGAAAAAAATTAATGAATGAATATTCTGATGTCATCATTTTACTGTGAATTAACAAACAGGACATAATTAAAGTCTGTTCAAGTCCACCATAATGATTATACAAAACTTTGCATTTTAAGCAACAGTAGACCTACATATAGGTCTAATATAATTATTGTTGTTTTACCAAATGTTTGAGAATTAACAATAATAATAGGCTAATTATATTAACCTTTATTTTACATTTACAGAGTCGTGAGAATTCTATGGAAACATAGCTACTGTCTACAGAACCTAAAAAGTGATTCACATCATGCGTGCAACAAGCCAGGAGAATGACAACTCAGAAAGCACCATTTTGTCTCATCTTTTCTCATCCCTGTTGTTGTGGACTCCACCTGCTGTTAAGATGATCAAAGTGCTTGCATTTTCATTAAAAGAGATTTTAGTTCTGAAGCTTTTACTGAATCTATGTACAATTTTAGATATTGTGTTGTTTTAGGAAAGGGTTGGGCTCAACCCTTTGAAAGTTTAATACACTGTCTCTTAATTATAAAGTTAATAATGAAAACTTAATTATTACGGCCATACTGTCAAGCAGAAATCCTGAGTAGGCTTTCAGCTAAAATTCTGATCAGTTTGTAATGATCGTCATTTTGTGGTAATGTTTTTTTTTATGCTGAAAATGCGTAGATTTTTTTGCAGCTTGTATATGATTGCAAAAGGCGCTTGTGAATTTTTAACAATGTGTTTATTGTATGCATTTTGCATGACTCCTGTTTGCCTGATTGTTTAAACAGTTTTGTACTTGTGGTTTAAGTACTGCACAATGCTTGTGAGAAGTTAAATAAAACTGTAATTTGCCAGAATCGCAAAATATTTCTTTTGTGTAAGACTTGTGCAAACAGCCTTGGGCAACTATATGCTAGTCACACATAGCACATATATGATTAGCAAACAGTTGCATATGGGCTGTTTGCAAAAGTCTTACACAAAAGAAATCCTGACAGATTACTGTTTAATTTTCAATCGCTCACAAGCATTGTGAAATAGTAAAAAAAGATTACATAGAGTCTCATTAACATTTTAAATCAGGAATTAAAAAAAATATATAGCAATGATTTTTTTAAGTTTGTGTATGAATTTTGACTTCATTGTCATTACAAAATTGTTTAGATTTATACAGCTACATTACTTGGGAGTTAGTTTTATACATATTTTACATAGTGAAAATGTTTGTTCATCTTTTACATAGTGCCATTATTCTAATTTATCTGATTTATTTATTCAATTCATTCATTTTCCTTCAGATTAGTCCCTTATTTATCAGGGGTTGCCACAGCAGAATGAACCACCAACTATTCCGGAATACTTTAAGCAGTGAAACACCCATACACTTTCTCATTCACACACACACACACACACACACACACACACACACACACACACACACACACACAATGGCCAATTTACTTTATTTAATTCATCTAAGAGTCTTTGATCTGTGGGGGAAACCAAAGCACCGGGAGGAAACCCACACCAACTCTGCAAATTCCACACAGAAATGCCAACTAGCCCATTCGGGACTTGAACCAATGATCTTTTTGCTGTGATAAGACAGTATTAACCACTTAGCCACTGTGCCACCCATTATGCATTACATTTCTTCTGTTAAATAAGTGTATCAATAAATGAATAATACATTTTTAATTGTGAACTGATACATTTACAATGCCATGTGAATTGCAAAAACTGTAGCTGTTTTTATGTGGTTCTTTGGTATAAATAATTAAATGAGATCAAATATTTTATATTACCGATATACAATTTGTTTGTACTTAGAGACACATACAAAAAATATAAAATTGTTTTAGAAGCAACCATAAATCCACAATTTGCCACACAAAGCCAACATTTTACGCATGCTTTAAGGGGCAGAATAAAAGACAATAATACCTTTATCTACCCTAATACATATCATACACTGTAACCCAATAAGTAACTCAAACCATTTGAGGAAACTGATTGCAACAAACCAGTTAAGTTCAAAAACGAATCTGTGAACTTAATCCATTTGGATAAAAGGATCAATTTGAGCACAGCAAAACCTAATAAATGAAGAGAACTCAAACCAACCAAATACTGTAAAACCCAATACGTTTAGGCAAGTTAAACCATTTAAAGAAACCCAATGCTACAAACCATTTGAGTAAAAAAAAACTAATATATATGAGAACTGTGAACTTACTTCATTTAAGTTGAAGTAATGAGGTATTTAATTAACTTCAATGCTGAGTTTAAAACTCTTCAAATGAGTAGAATTTACTTTCAGTAAATTTTGAGTTAACTACACTCATTTTATTTGATAAAGTTGACTGTTGGGTTTTACAGTATTTGTGGCCACTATGAAAACAACCATAGATATTTTTGTTCTGCATAAAATATTCTTAAATGTTTACATTTTAATATTTCATTGAATACACATTTATAGGCACACTTGCAATATACAAAAACACCATCAATGATTTAATAATATTTAAATTAATAATTAGCTGAGCATGAAATGATGGTGAATGAAAGAATAGACCAATTGGGAATTACTGAAAGTCTAATCTTGGCTACAGCTGTAATCATGCAGGATACATAACAGCAACCAACTAAACCAACTGAAAATATCTCTCTAAGTTAGCAGCTTTCCATTATTTTTATTTATGTTTTTGAATTGCATTACGGGACCTGGATCTTTCTTCGGAAAAAGAAAGTTTTAAAAACATATGGAAATCTGCTACTATACAAATGTTTTTAGTTAAGTCAGTTGCTGTTTTTCAGAAAATGTGATTTTATTACCATTTATAACTATCTAAAAATATACTTTATCATTACATTAAATTACACTTTAATTTTAGTTTAAATTGAGATATTGTCTGGGAGTTGAATTGTAGAGTTGATTTTCCATTATGCAATACACAACCATAAATAAATGAAACCTTGTGAATCACAAAACATTGAATTTTTTAATTAACATTTTTTTTTACAGAGTATTTGTGGCCACTGTATGAAACAACCACAAATATTTTTGTTCTGCAAACTTAAATGTTTACATATCAATATTTCATTAAATACACATTTTATGCAACACTTAACAATAAGGATACACAATTAATGATTAACAAATTTGTAAATTAATAGTTAATTTAGCATGAAACCAATGCTGAATGAAAGAATGGATCAATCAGAAATTACTGAAGGACCAACTTAACTATACTGAAATACTTTCATTTGTTACCATGTTAATTAACAACAAACGGTCTGCTGCATAAGTGTTGTTACAAAATTAATTAACTTGTTCTGCATTAATCTTATTAAAGCCACATTAAGTCCTGACATATGCCTAGATGGACAGCATCACATTTGATTTCTAGGGAGAATGGTGCAAAAGTGTGTAATGTGTATGTCATTTAATGATTTTACTAACTTGAAGAATGAAATATTAGGAATGAATAAACACCGTAATAAATGTATTGTTCACTGTTGATTTTAGTAAATGCATTAGCATTAACAATTGAAAAGTGTTAACATTTATATCAAAATAAAAATTCTTACTGAGTATTTACTTTTCAGACATAGTAATTACAAAAATAACTTAAAAACAATTTTAATGTCTTAATTAGTAATTCATTTGAAGCAGCAACACAAATGACATGTTGAAACCTAGGATAAATGGTTCAGAATACATGAATGTAATTACATATTTAATACACGACTCATTTTTAGATGATAACCTCTACTCAGCAGATCCTTCAAAATTGCTCAAGGTTTCCTGAGCAATACTCAGGCGGTCCAGACGAGCCTGTAGGTCTCTACGCCTTCTGCTGACGTCTGTGTCCTCAAACAGGAGCTCGCTCACTTTCACCCCTTTCAGTAAACTCAACATGTCTGCAGTTAGGAGTTTAGCAGTCTGCTTCAGCATGAAAAATAATATCATCATGGGCAGTTGGTCAGCCATCCGCTGCACTACTATCTGAAATAAAAACCTCAAATTACTTCCATACACCCCAAATTTTGCAGCCCGTTCAATGTCTGAACAAACAAAAGCTTAATTATTTACTGACAGCTAGAAAAATGTACCTCGTAATACGCCTCCAGCATGTCACTGTACTTGCTTTTCTTGTCAAAGACAGGTAACTCATCTATTGAAAATGTCTCACTATCTGGGATCTCATTCAACGCCTTTAAGAAAATGGGATCTTGAGTGAAGATCATTCTTTCCATTTTAAATTGCTCTGAGATCCTCTGCTCTGCCTTTGCTTGCTGGCTTGACTGAATGTTGTCAATTTTGTCCTGAAGTTTCAGGTGAGGAATATATTTTTAAAAAGGTAACTTTCATTGTTGCAGATTTATTTACATCTAAACAGGAGCAATATTTACCTTAGTGATACTTTGAAGAACGGGATAGTTCTGGAAACAAGTTTCGACAACCTCAGTGAAATGGCCAAGTATGATGCCTTTAGGTAAAGTACAAACAGTACATCAAAAACAGCAAACAGCCATTATTGTAGAGCAAGTATAATAAAACTTTAAAACATTCCAGGCATCATTCATTTTTCACATAGCTAAGTGCTAAAATCCAACTGCCTCAGGAGTTAAATTTGAGTGAAACATGGCCTTACAGCTTTATCAAAAATGTAACGTTTAGAATAATTTAAACATTATTTTCAACAAATCCTTGACATATTTCAATACAATATTTCATACATAACATATACAGTGCATCCGGAAAGTATTCATATTGCTGGGGGGCGTGTGGCATGGGGGTAAGTGAGCGAGCGACATATGCGAAGAGCGGTGGGGGTGAGTTGCGTGCGACATACCTGAAGAGCGGTGGGGGTGAGTTGCGCGTGACATGTCTTAAGAGCGGTGGGGGTGAGTTGCGCACAATGTACCTGAAGAGCTGGGTGGGATGCGGTGGAAAGGGGTGTGAGACTTATTTAAGGACCGAGTGGGAGATTTTCGGGAGATTATCGTTCCTTTGCGGGCAATTGGGAGTCTCTATGTATTTCCGGGATACTCCCGCAACCTCCGGGAGACTTGGGATGTCTGTCTATGGATGCGCCAGTCCTGCCGGCACCCATCTATTTAAAGTCCCAGGGTTGACTGCACTTCAAAGCACAAACCAAGCATGAAGACAAAGAAATTGTCTGCAGACCTCCGAGACAGAATTGTCTCGAGGCACAAGGCTGGGGAAGGTTACAGAAAGTTTCTGCTGCTCTGAAAGTTCCAATGAGCACAGTGGTCCCCATCATCTGTGATTGGAAGATGTTTGAAACCATCAGGAGCTGGCCGGCCATCTAAGCTGAGTGACTGGGGGAAAAGGGTCTTAGTCAGGGAGGTGATCATCAACCCGATGGTCACTCTGTCTGAGCTCCAGCATTCTTCTGTGGAGAGAGGAGAATCTTACTAAAGGACAACCATCTGTGCAGCAATCCACCAATCAGGCCTGCATGATAGAGTTGCCAGACGGAAGCCACTCCCTGCTTGGAATTTGCCAAAAGGCATCTAAAGGACCCTCGGACCATAAGAAACAAAGTTCTCTGGTCTGATGAGACTAAAATTGAACTTTGGAGTGAATGCCAGGCGTTACGTTTTGAGAAAACCAGGCACCGCTCATCACCAGGCTTATACCATCCCTAGAGTGAAGCATGGTGGTGGCAGCATCATGCTGTAGGGATTTTTTCAGCAGCAGAAACTGGAAGACTAGTCAGGATAGAGAGAAAGATGAATGCAGCAATGTACAGAGACATCCTGAATGAAAACCTGCTTCAGAGTGCTCTTGATCTCAGACTGGGGCAAAGGTTTATCTTCTAGCAGGACAATGACCCAAAGCACTCTGCCAAAATATCAATGGAGTGGCTTTATAACAACTCGGTGAATGTCCTTGAGTGGCAAGGCCAGAGCCCAGACCTCTTAATCCTATTAAACATCTCTGGAGAGATCTGAAAATGGCTGTACATTGTCACTTCCCATCCAACCTGAAAGAGCTTGAGAGGTACTGCAAAGAGCAATGGGTAAAAATTCTCAAAGACAGGTGTGCCAAGCTTGTGGCATCATATTCAAAAAGACTTGAGACTGTAATTGCTGCCAAAGGTGCATCAACAAAATATTAAGCAAAGACTGTGAATACTTATGTACATGTGAATTTTTGTTTATATATATATATATATATATATATATATATATATTTGCAACCATTTCAAAAAATCTTTTTTTGTATTGTAATTTTGGGGTATTGTGTGTGGAATTTTGAGAAAATAAATGAATTTAATTAACAATTTTGGAATAAGGCTGTAAAATAAAAATACGGAAAAAGTAAAGTGCTATAAATACTTTCCGAATGCACTGTATTCCCATTGATCTAATACATGAACATTTAAGTGCAATTGTCAGACAAATGTACCAGTTGAAAATTATTGTGTCTCAATAATAAAATAGATGTATGTACAACTATTCCGTATTCTTTATAAAGTATGTATAATCATCTTGATAAATGTAACCTTCTTTAGTTGAAAAATATTATTATGAAGAATATACAGGAGTTGGACAATGAAACTGGAACCCTGGCCAATTTAGTGTTAGTGGTTTCATGGCTAAATTTGACCAGCCTGTTGGCCAATTGATTGCACATTCAACCACTAAGAGCAGAGTGTGAAGGTTTATTTAGCAGAGTACCAGCAGCAAAAATCTTAGGCTGTGGACAAGGTGAAACATGAACTTTTCTCTTATGAGTTCACCTTCACTGTCTTTCTTACATCCAGGAGATCCATGAACATGAAAGTGAAATCATCAAATCTAAATATTATTGAGCCACTTTGAGGTGTTTTGGAGGAGTGAGTATGGAGGAGTGGAGGAAAAAAGTTGTCCTCCATCAGCATCACATATAGTGACCTGGCCACTATTTTGAAAGAAGAATGGCTCAAAATTCCTTTGGCCACTGTGCAGGACTTTCCAAGTCAAATCGATGCTGTATTGGCCACAAAAGGAGGCCCTACACTATACTAATAAATTATTGTGGTTTAAAACCAGGCATTTACGTTTCATTGTAAAACCCCTGTTTATATAAAATCTATTTTTTTCTCTTTGTCTACCACTGACACTACTACCATCGCCATTCAAATCCCAGATCTATTACCCACGCAGAAATTAATAGCACAACTGTGCTTTAGGTTGCCAGATTGAGGTTAAAAATGGTTTGAAAGATCTGGCAACTTAACAAACTTTGACTAAAAAATTGACATGATTATTCATTGATTATTCAGTGTTAACAAGTATGGTGACCAGAAAGATCTTAAACGTGAAATTACATGATGAGTTACCTTTGATGGCATTCAGTAATTTAGATGCTGGGTTCTTAAGTGTGGCCACATGGTTTTGCAAAATCACCTCAAACACTCGGTAGTTGCTGAAGCCAGGCAGTTCTCTCCCTCTGAAATTCTGGAGAACCTCTATTTTCTCTTTAGTTGATTGTTTTACTTGTTGGAGAACAATATGCATTTCTTATTAAAAGAGAATACTTTTTTATTAGGAACTTGTATTATATTTTTTTATTATTTGAAAATACACTAACAGGACTTCTTTGTTTCATTAAGATGATCATTCCACATATTGAATTCCTCCCGAAGCAGCACAAACAAATTTTTCTCAGCCATCTTCTCTCCTGACGATAATAACTTGATTTGTCCATTAAACTTTGTTAAGATCTGCACAAAAAATATTGATTAAACACAGCCAAGAGAGTGTTGTTGGACAATTAAATGATTAACTATTTATTAAAACACATGAGCCTTCAGATGTTTTTTTTTTTTTTAATGTGGTCAGAGACTCAGCTCCTTGTGTAGTTTGCCAAGTCATTACACCAGGATGAAATATTAATAATAAATGTCCTTGTGATGAATTTTGTGCCTCAAAGCGACGGATAGTACCACAAAGCGATGTTTAGAAACAGAGATCTAGATCTTGTTAAGTACATATACCTGCAGTATATGAACTTAATTAAATGGATACCTAGCCAGCAGTTGTTTTGTTGGTGAATTACAGTGCCTTGAATTTTTGTAGACTGTCTTGAATCAGTGTAGACTAATAAATAAAACAGACTTTTTTAATTGTTAAAGACAAGAATGCTGCTGCATTCTGGATCATTTGAAGAGGCTTTTAATGGTGTTGGTTGGTAGGTCAACCAAAAGACCATTGCAATAGTCAAACCTGGACAGGTCAAGAGCTTGGACAAGCAATTGGGCAGCATCTTCTGATAGAAAAAGTCTAATCTTTCTGATGTTATTTAGAGATGAATGGGCAATTGTGGCAAAATGCTGTTAATTTTACCTGTTCATCAAGAACCATTCTTATAGTTGGTTCCTGAAACAGGTTACTCAGCTGTAGGGTAAAATTCTGGTTAATATTTGGGCTAGATGGGATTACCAGCAGTTCTATTTTGGAGAGATTGGTTTGAAGATGGTAGTCCTTCAACCAGCAAGAAATGTCCAACATGCTGATATCCAAGCAGCAATCATCAGATCATCCGTTTGGAATGAGAGGTAGACTAGCAAAAATACATAGGAAAATACATGTTTCTAAATAACAAACATAAGTGATGATATAAATAGAGAAGAGAAGCAGTCCAAGCACAGGCACCCCAGTGGCAAGATCATGCAGCTCCAATACTTCACCTCTCCGAGAAACTCTGAAAGACCAATCTGAAAGGAAAGAGCTGAACCTCAGAGTGTGGTTCCTGAGATGCCTATTGCTTGAGGATTGCCAAGTGAATTTTGTGGTTCACTATATTAAAAGTAGTATATACTGTAAATCCAGCAAGATGAGCAATTAGGCGATCTCAAGGAGTGGTTCTTGATGACTTTATGAATTTATGAATAAATTTAACACCATATTGCCACAACTGCCTGTTTATGCAGATTTGCTCTAAAAAACATCAGAAAGATTAAACCTTTCCTATCAGAACATGCTGCCCAACTGCTTGTCCAAGCTTTTGTAACTCATGGAGCGCTTGGATGCAGCTCTTGCAAGTTTCAGAACTTCCACAACTGTGAAATGATCAGTCTTAGTGGAGTGCCCACTTTTAAAACCAAACTGGTTAGTGTCCAGACGACTCTGGTTTAAAAAGGCAGCTACTTATTGAAGACAACATATTCTAGTCTTTCTAAAAAAAAATGTCGGGAGAGACATTACTCTGGTATTGCCCAAGATACCTGTTTTTTTATTTTATTTTATTTGTTTATTTTTTATTATATTTTTTTAACAGTGGCGTTAAATTACTATAGTGAAAAGAATAATGTGGGTAAGCTGTCCAGGGGCCTTTCCTGGGTCGGGAAGGGTCAGAAGTGCCAGGGCAATATACAGTACCATATACATGGAGCATGAAACATTCTTATTTATGATGAAAGATTGGTTTGAATGTATCTCATCTTCAATTTAACAAAGTTCCTTTAACAGCTTAAGCATTCATTTAGTTGTTCAGTCATAAATGAGATGAAAAGAATCTTTAAATGTAAGAGCTATGAGGAGACAGCAGATGAGCACTGAACACTGTCAAGCACATCCATTGAAAATTTGATATGTAACACACTTTACATTTTGTCTCAATCTGGCAGTGTAAATTATTGATTGCTGTGAACTTAAATGCTGTGAATATAAAATGATATGACGGTTCACAGGAAAGGGCTAAGCTGGCTAAAACCCACAGTAACCATGCATAGGGTCAATTCAGGAACCATAGGAGAGTGCTGGACAGTGCTGGTGGCACAGATTATGGAGGTATGAGTAAAACAGAAACCCAACAGAATACAACAGAATAGCATCATATTTAAAGAGAAAGACAGGGCTCAGGAGGCTTTTGGAGGCTGCAGAATTCGAAAATCTGAAATGTGCTCCAGAGTTAAGGTAAATTAGTAACTGTGCTCTGACACATGAGGGGACTCAGGCTTTGGAGCTAAAGCAGACAGCAGAGAGTTTTTCTGTGGCAAAGCACAGTCACTTCTAATTACAATTACAACTACTATTTTTTTCCTGCTAGATGGGATAATTAAAACTTCTTACTTTAATAAGAAATTGTTTGGCCCCTTTTGAATCCTGTGGGGGTCCAGACTCACACTCTTTTAGATCATCTCTCAGGTCCCACAACTGCTTTTTTATCTGCTCACTGAGCTGTGGCAGCGATTTCTGGAAAAAAGTAGGGTAAAGATTAAAACATATTTTGGCTCATTTCCACTTGGTGGTACAGTATAGTACAGTGCAGCACTCAGTTATTTCAGTTTCTACTGTCAGAAGTTGTCAAAAGTTAACCAATTTTTGGGATCCTTATGTAAGTTTACCTAGCACAATATTACAGTACCTAAACGTTTGAGCTAGACTCACTTTAGAACACTCATTCATTTATACAGAATCACTTGCATGTGCTACAAGGGAATCAACAACACACCATTTTCTAAATACACCATAATAATACAATGATGTAGGGATGTGCAGAATGAAACTTCTGAAGCAGTGAGGTTTTTAAATCAAACTGCATTGATGGTTTGAAGTTTTTGACAGTGCACGATTTCGCCATCTGATGGTAACAATACATTTTCACATCTACTGTGTCATTCTGATTTATTCATTGGGATTTTATTGTAACATTTGTTTGTATCTGTAATACACTTATATGACATTAGCAGAATTGTGGAGTTTGTGAGTGCAGTTTTAATCACGTAAAGTTTTAATAGGGCGAGGCAGTGGCGCAGTAGGTAGTGCTGTCGCCTCACAGCAAGAAGGTTGCTGGGTCGCTAAATCGAACCTTGGCTCAGTTGGCGTTTCTGTGTGGAGTTTGCATGTTCTCCCTGCCTTCGCGTGGGTTTCCTCCGGGTGCTCCGGTTTCCCCCACAGTCCAAAGACATGCAGAATTGAAGTAGGCTAAATTGTCCGTAGTGTATGAGTGTGTGTGTGAATGTGTGTGTGGATGTTTCCCAGAGATGGGTTGCGGCTGGAAGGGCATCCGCTGCGTAAAAACTTGCTGGATAAGTTGGCGGTTCATTGCGCTGTGGTGACCCCAGATTAATAAAGGGACTAAGCTGACAAGAAAATGACTGAATGAATGAATAAAGTTTTAATCATTTCCAAATTTCATTGTCTTTTGTAAAATACACGTGACAATACAGACTTTTCCACTAACAATTCAAAGAACAGTCAAGTACAGTCCTAATTTTGTTTCCACAAGAGCAAAAACAGCACGGACGAATAGAAACCATTCACTGCCTGAATAGTTATACATGAATCGAACCGAATGGTATACTGTACATTGAAATGACCCATTTAACACTTTAACTGATGTACTGACTTAAAATGATGAATTATAAATAAAATCGTGAATGATCATCTTTATATTCTATCATTACATCTACTGAGCCCATTAATGTTAATTAATGTTAAGCTAACACAAAATATGAAGAGACAGTTTATTTAATACTTTTAGTAACTTACTTTAATATGGTCAACAAGGTTCTGAGTTAGTTTGTTGGCAAGACTTTTAGTTGTCGCTTTATCCTCACTCAACAGGCGTCTGCAAAGATAGGTCAATTAATAATCATGTCATTTTTAAAAATCTTCCCTGTTTTGGTTAAATAAAACATGACAAAAATGAACGTTTATAAAGGAAGCTCTTCATGGAGCAATTTGTGGATGCAAACTTTAATAGTGTCCAGTAGAAAGTACAGCTCAAGGATATTACTATCAGTTTAGGGATGTTATGTGTGAGCAATCTATACAGGGCAAACCTGAAAAACTCATGATTCTGAAAGAACTCTTTCTCCATTTCTGTGGCCTCGTCCAGAGAAATGTCATCATCGATCTGCTGTTGTCCTCTGCACTTCACCATGACGTAACCTTTACGGAGAGGAATTACCTTGTTCTGGACAATGGCTAGAATGTTTTTCTCTGTACCTTTGTCTATGATGTCTGGCTTGGTCAAAACAGCTGTAAAGCAGAAATATAGTTACTATGTAAAATGTATTTGCTGACACAGAATTGCATACGCTATATATATATGTGTGTATATATATGTATATATATATATATATATATATATATATATATATATATATATACACACACACACATACATACTGTATAATTAGGGTTATAATTGCGAATAAAGTGAGTTCAGATGTCTAATCACTGGAGTTAGACAGAAAGGACCACAGCAGTTCAATAACTAAAGAGACATCCACAAAGATCGAGTCATTGGTTGTTTCTCAATATGCGTTCTTTAGCGATCTTGCAACCTCGTTTTCGTATGTAACGTAATCAATGACCAGCAAAGTTCAGTTTCACAACTCAAGACAGCAAGACAGGAGGACACGTGAAGTTTCTTTAATGTTGTCTTGGTATCGAGGATGCATCGTTGCAGACTTGAGCACCGAACTCGCTTTAGACACCCTAGAAGTCATTGCGATGGAGGTGGGAGCGCAGCATTTTATATAAATTTACTATTAAACTTCAGACATATTACTTATTTATCTTAGGAGTTTCCCTAAATTAGTTGATGAAAGTAAACATTTATTCATTTAATAATTTTTTCGGCTTAGTCCCTTTATTAATCTGGGGTTGCAACTGCGGAATGAGCCACCAACTTATCCAGCATATGTTTAACGCAGCGGATGCCCTTCCAGCTGCAACCCATTACTGGTAAACATCCATAGAAACTCATTCACACACACACTATGGACAATTTAGCTTAGCCAACTCACCTGTACAGCATGTCTTTGGAGCACCCGGAGCATGTGAACACAGGGAGAACATGAAAGCTCCACTCAGAAATGCCAACTCACCCAGCTGAGGCCCGAAAAAGCAACCCTTCTTGCTGTGAGGCAAACGTGCTACCCACTGTGCCACTGTGCAGCCCCGTGAAAGTAAACATTATTGTGATAATCTTAATAGAGGCATAAGGCTGTTTGTTTACCAAAATTTGTATTAAAATCTGTTTTATTTGTATTGTGCAAAGTATATTTGTAAGGTTTTTGTGCAAATTATATATATTGAATAGGGTAAAAACAATAAATCGTTGTATGAATGCTGTAATGTTAAAATAATTTCCATAAAAAATGCGCAAAGGTCATGTGGTCCATCTGGAAGAACGTAGCATATCATTTCTCGCAAGACACGTTCTATGCTCTCACGGTCTGCCGACTTTGCCCTTCCGAGGTGACCTGGCAAGACCGGTCTTCACAAGAATGCAAGTCTATTCTCTGTGTTCTTGTAATTGAGAAACAGCCTTTGCGTCTGAAAACACATCGCTCAGTTGTGGTTTCGTCATGTTTTCATTGTCATGCCAGCTTGCTGCCATAAACAGAAGCTCGTAATACTTGTCCCACATCTGAGTTCTTCTGATTGGATTACTGCCTCGAAACTGAAAATATGCAAAATGAGCACTGCTGTGGGTGAAAGTTGAAGTAGTTTTACACAGAATCTAAAAAATGTCATGAAGCGGGAGTGTTTATTAATCATCCCCATATGTCAAACTATGGGAATAAAAGTTACTGTCTCATCTTGTGTACACATAAAGTAAGTCAGTCTGTGAGTAAGTGAGTCCCTTCTTTTTAAACACACATAATATTAAACAGTTGCTGTTGTTGATCTGCTGTTATGGATGGACACAGTGCTGCATTTTCATTGGAAGAGATTTCAGGTTTCAAGCTTACTGGATCTCAAGTTTAAAACACAATTATTGTTTTTCTGTTGTTTTAGAAAATGGTTGAGCTTAATCTTCTAAGTTTAATAAATAGTTTCCTAATTATAACATTTTATTTTTCATTATTCTATTTATTTTGTACTTTTGCATTACAAAAAGCTGTTTAGTTATGAACTAATTGTGGCAAGACACTTCTTCCTGTTCAAAATAAGCAGAAAGAGAAAGCACCGGATACCAAAAGCCATGTACGTACCAAACCATGACTTCAGTGTACACTCTCAGAAATAAAGGTATGTGAGCTGTCACTAGGGTGGTACCATTACAAATGGTACACATTTGTACCTAAAAGGTCCTTATTAATACCTCAAGGATACATATTAGTACCTAAAAAGTACAGAAGTGTTTCTCTTAAAATTTGTAGGTACTAATATATACTTTTGAGGTACCAATACTGACCCTTTAAGTACAAATGTGTACCTTTTGAAAAGGTATCACCCCGGTGACAGTTTGCGTACCTTTATTTCTGAGAGTGTAGCATTAAACCCATAAAATGTATGTATAATGTTATTTAATGTTTGCGTGTGTGTTTATATACAGGTGTTCTGTATTACATTACCAATAGTTCTTTTGCCCTCAGGATCTACTTCTTGTGCAAGTTTTAATGCTTCTGTTGTTGCGATGTCAATGTTACAAGGGACCACAACCAGGTTAATAGTCTCTTGCATCACAATAAACTTGATTATCAGTTTTTTTATCTACAGGATACAAAAAACAAGACAGAACGTGTTACTGTATAAATATGATCCTAAATGGCTTGAAAATAATGTTGTAATGCTCACCTGGTTTGCAATATCATCTGGTTGTCCTGCTACTGGGACTCGCGCAATTCCAGGTAAATCGATCAATGTGAGATTACACACATCGGGTGACATGACTTCTAAAGTGATGAGCTCATCACAGATTCCTACCCCATTACCAGCTAGCTCATCCTGGGCTGTAACACACATCAGTTTTTGAATTATTTTAGGACTGTCAATAGTTAAAAAATTATTCATCATTTCATTATACAAGCCCAGTGTATAACACTCTGGTGGATTTAATCCACGTATGGGGATTTCGTTCAGAAAGCCAATCATCTGAAAGAGTATGTAAATGGGTCAATGAAAAGCGTCAGCTTGCGCACCTGTTGCTTGTTGCAATCAATTCAGCATAAAAGCACAGCTAAGCAAGAAGACACTAACCTTTTTAAGCTGAAGAGACTGATACCTACAGCTATGGAACAATCATTATGGCGATGCAATATAGCATTTCCATTCCCCTTGAGGAACAAGGGTTACTTTAGTAACCAGAGCGTTCCCCTTCGGATGGAGAACTTCAATGCTATAAGTGGATTTAATCCACGTATGGGGAAATCATAAAACGTCATAATGACTGCACCTTACCTTCGCCTCCGATGAGAGAATAGCCAGGCATAGCGAAAGCGCACGTGCATCACAAGGAGGTGCGGTCTTCCAACGTGATCCCAGGCCCTTACTTATCCCACATCAAAGAAGATTTACAGATTTAGATATATTTTTCGGGAGCCGCAAGTGTCTAGATAATTTCTAGGAATTTAAATTCGACAGTATGTTGGGATAGCGTGCAGTCCCAACTGGGAGGACGCTGCGGAGGCCACCTGCTACTTAAATGGGGAGATATGATGGCAAAATATACGAACTAGCCCTGAGAAGGGGGAGAACGCATATAATAAGATGGTTAGCGGAGAGGGAAGACACGGTCCGCCTGTGAGGGGGGACTGCACCATGGCTGAATAAGCATATGGGATCACCTAGTGGGGATCACGTAGAGCGAGCACCTATACCCAAAACACGGGCTGACCAGTGGGCAGACCTACAACGTAATGAGTCAGCGATTGACTACTCCGCTGAGTCAGTGCTGGGGGCCTCAGAGGAATCTGCAGGCCTCACCTAAGCGGGGAACTTTACTGACAGAGTGAATAAGCGCACGTATCTCTGTGTTAGGGAAAATGTCACAGCAAGCACGTTTCAACACCTTAACTGAGTTGTTTCCTCAATAACCAAGGGTTACCTAATACCCTTGAGGAAACCGGCTCCACTCACAGATTGTAAAACCTTGCAAATGTATTAGGTGTCGCCCAGCCCGCAGCTCGATAGGTGTCTATTAAAGAGGCGCCGCGTGCACGCGCCCAAGAGGATGCGATGCTCCGAATGGAGTGCTCACACACTCCTGGGGGACACGGCTCGCCCTGGCTCTGGTAAGCGAGGGAGATGGCATCCACTATCCAGTGGTCCAACTTCTTTTTCGATATGGCACTTCCCTGCTGCCGACCACCATAACAGACGAAGAGCTGCTCAGATGATCACAGCTCTGAGTGCGGTCCAGATAAATTCACAAAGCGCGAACTGGACAAAGTAATGAAAGAGCTGGGTCTGCCTCCTCCGGGGGCAGTGCTTGCAGGCTCACTACCTGGTCTTTAAACGATGTGCTAGGAACCTTGTGCACATATCCAGGGCGTGGTCTCAGGACCACACATGGAGGTTCCAAAGATCGGGGTGAGGGTGCCAGATGGTGCCCTGTCCCTGAGAGAGTAGCTCCTCTCTCAAATGGATCTGCCGGGGGAGGGCTATCGCGAGGAGGGGGAGCTCTGACATCCAGGTCCGGTTGGGCCAGAGGGGCGCAACTAGCAAAACCTGCTCCCCGTCCCTCCTGACCTTGCACAGTAACTGCGCGAGCAGGCTCACTGGGGGAAACGTATATTTGCGCATGCCCCGAGGCCACCTGTGGGCCAGTGCATCTGTGCCAAGAGAGCCCTTGGTCAGGGAAAAGAAACCCATAGCCAGCCTGGTGTAAGGGGTGGTTATTTTTTTCTCAAAAAGTGGACCTTTTTGCAGTTATACGCCTCAGTTTCTATTTAACTATGAGATGTAAATACTGCATTTTAGTGACTTTTTTGCTGGATTAGCTAGTCAGATGTTATCAAAACCATACTTTTTGATGTACTAAAAATATTTCCTAAAAATTGCAGTTAAAAAAATTCAAACAAGTCTTATTTTTAAAATACAAATTTATTACATCATATGCCATTAGGAAAAAATAGCAATCAGTTAAAGTTTTAAAGTAAAAAAATATATATATCATTTATTAGACAAAAAACAAACTGGCCAGCACATTAAACTGTCCTCAGTCACAGTTTGGCCAGTTCAATAAAAAATAATAATTAAAACATAATATTAATAATAATAATAATAATAATAATTATTATTATTATTATTATTATTATTATAGTAATAATAATACAATAATAAATAATTCTTAATTATTTTTTTCAACCCTTTTTGGTAAAAAAAAAAAAAAAGCCTTTTTCGATGGATTATTAGGCGGTAAATGCGCATCTACAGGTGTTTCTGGCGCAGGTCAGATTTTCTCCATTTAGTTTTTATTAATTTTGTCCAAAAAGTTATAATACCTATCTAGCTTCATCTGGAATCCATCCCAAATAACCCTCTGAAGTGGTCTGAGCGACCTGGTTTATATCCGATCAGAATAAGTGAGCAAACAGCCTCAAAAACACAGATGTGACGGGATTAGTGCCTTTTGCTGTGAAGTGGCATCTGACGGCTGAGGACTCTGCTTTCCATTAAAGCCTTCATCGGGCAGTTATTTAAAAAAATGTCAGAAATAGGTAAAGGGAGGTCATGTACTGGAAAATTCAATAAATATGCAGGACGTCTAGGCTAATGCAGCCAGTTAGCCTAGAACCTCAGGGGCAGATTTTCATCTGTTAGTCACTTACCTGTTTGGCAGTCTTTATGAACATATATTTTGCGATAATAATGCCACTGCCTGCCTTTTCTGCCTCCTTGCTCTTTTCGACCAACAGCGTAACTCAGTAGCTATCCATGAATGTCGCATCAAAGATTCAAATGTGACCACTCAGTGGGTTATGTCACGTGACTCGTGTCACATTATTGTGGCTTTGAGGCTCTATGGGATTCAAACTAATGGTCAGAGTTATTTAAAATGACACTTTATTACAATATATATTTAATATAAATATATTAATTATATAATAATAATATAAATTACATAAAATAATTCAAAGGACAAATTCTGGACCTTTTGGCTGTGGGGGGTGGGTCGTTCCGAGGGCTGAGGGCGTGGCGTTTCCTTTACAATGCCCCATTGTTTAGCCCTCTTCTAGTCCTCGTTAGTGTAAATGAGCAAGTTAATTTTTTGTGAGTTTGTTATTGTGATCTTTATGTTTTCCTGAGCTTCAAGACTCATTGCCCAGTTCGTACTTTATGAGTATTTTCTTAGTCTTAGCAATCATATTCTTTATCTTATTAGTTTTATTAATAGCTTCTAATAGAAATATTTACATTTTTCTATTGATTTTGTTTATTTCATCCAGTCATTTCAGTAATTTAAGTCTTTGATTTTTTTTTTTTTTTTTTTTAACTGTTAAGAGTATTTCTTTTATAGTCTCCTATGCAGTACATCACCTGTTGAACTCTTTATTTGCCAATAAAACCCTCTTGACCTCATTTTGCATTTGGGCACTATTTCCAGATCCATGACAGTCGGGGCTACAGGTACTTGTGACTGCTGATTTCCAACAATCATATGAATGCATTAAGAATTTTCAATTAATTATATGCATTAATGTTGACTGCAAATGTTTGATACAATCTTTTTCATCTACATGTATATGACTTTTAACCATATTAAATTTGTTCTGTCGCTCGCCTGTGGTGAATTCATGTGGAGCATTTGGGTCTTGTGAAATATGGTTTGACAAAAGAATGCAGAGCCAATAATAACATAGTTGTTTCAACAAATGCTTGTTTAATTTTTTAACATTTTTTTTCATCCACTCTAGAGGGATTTTGAATCAAGTTTCAGAAAAGTAATTATTTTTGGTGACAACTTATTTTGGCATATTTGATATCAGCAAATGTTCTATCCTTTTGTTATGCTCGTGGCTGTTTTTGCCCCAATAAAACTGTTTTGATTGCAAAGCCATGACACCAATCATGCATTGTTTGTTGCTGATTTTCTCTGTTGAGAAATTTGTCATTTTTACTGTTGATCATCAGTTGCAAAATAATATAATTTGTGTGTGCATGTTAGAGTATAAGAAAGACCTTTGCCCACTTACCTTGATATCTTTGAGAAAATTAGAAAATAAACAGCTCAGCTTTCCGAAGACAATAAGCACAGTAAGTGTATTTGTGTGCAAACACATCTCCAACGCAACCCCCAAACCCTACACAACCCACCCTATCTGCCCCCGATTTTACAAATTGATCATGCATTAAGCTTTTAGCTTTAAACTTTCAGACATTAAGCTGCCATGAAATGTGTAGGAACCACTGACCTGTTTTAACATGTCTTTCAACCATTGAAGGATCAGCAAATTCAGTTCGCTTCTCACGGTAAGAAATAACAGCCTTCCAGCTGACTCCACCTGTTACCTTCTTCAGCCTCAGCTCTAGTGGACATCTTGTGACAATGCCTACAGTAGACACAGTTCAGTTAACTTACAGAAAACAAACTGTGAAAATGTATGCAACATTAACATGATGAAATGACAGTGTAAAGTTAGTTTCGTTTTTAATTTTTCTGACAATTTTTAGATAAACAGCAGTAACTTCACATCTGCATCAATAATCACAAACTACTGTTAAAAAAGCTGTGATGAACCTTTTAAACACAGATGAAAAGCAGTTAATAACAGGAATAAATCATATTCATTCATTCTTTTTCTTTTCGGCTTAGTCCCTTTATTAATCTGGGGTTGCCACAGCGGAATGAACCGGCAACTTATCCAGCACATTTTTTTACGCAGCAGATGCCCTTCCAGCCGCAACCCATCTCTGGGAAATGTCCACACACACTTATACACTACGGACAACATAGCCTACCCAATTCACCTGTACTGCATGTCTTTGGACTGTGGGGGAAACCTGTGCACCCGGAGAACATGCAAGCTCCACACAGAAATGCCAACTGACCCAGCCAAGGCTCGAACCAGCGACCTTCTTGCTGTAAGGCGACAGCACTACCTACTGCGCCACTGCGTCGCCAATCATAATCATAAGTGAAATAAAAAATACAAACAAAAGTGGTGTTTTGTGGAGGTTGAAACTACTACAATGTAAAATATAGCTGCAAGCAGCTATTATCGGGGCCAAGCAGTCCAGCAAGCCACATCAAACAAGCAAGGCAACAAGCTACAAAGCAACTGAAAAATTCTTTCATTTTTTGGCAGCATGGTTTGAGCCAAATTTGGTGAAAATTGGGCTAACAATCTATGGAGAGGTTAAAACAAAAGATTTTACCAAAGATTTTAAAAGATTTTTTTAACCAATTCAAGATGGTGGAAAGGAAGTTGTGTCAATTATGGAATAAATAATGTCAATGTTCTCTGTATAATCCAAGGAGTCCGTAAGACTAGTCTCATGAAAATAGACAAAACTATTCAAAAGTCATTTGATTCTGTATGATTTCTATTGATAGAATTTAATTGTTTGTCAATTTTACCCAGAAGGTGGTGCAAACTGATGTAGTTTGGTCAATGTCAGGTCTAGTTCATACACATTTAGCTTGGTTTCAATACTTTAGAACATTGCAGTGATTCAACCTGTAATGTAATGTGGCAGCTATACATCAAGATTGTGCATTTGCTATATGACAACAGTTTTGTCTATCGACATGAATTCCATAACTTTTGGTCTACATGGTCTGAAGATGATCTAAGTCAGATTTGGTAAAGATTGGACCAATGGTCTAGGAGAAAGATGTCCAATGTTCACTTCTTGGCACTGGTTTTATGCATCTGTCTTCCTGCTGGACAAAACTATTATTAAAAAACTACTATAAAAAAAGATTTACGGAGGGAAAAAGGAAAGGTTGTAATAGTTGTCTACTTTTCTCTAAAAGTCAGTCACCTCAGTTTTGGATGTATGGCAGTTTATCTCTGAATATGACAAAAATATCAAACAAAAGTAACTTACTCAGCTGTAAGAAATTGCACCACAGGAGAGGACTTAATCTTTTCATTACTATAAAATCAATTTGAATGTCAAAATCATAAGCGTAAAACAAGTTCCTCACCATTTCCTCTTGGGAGTGCAACTCCAGAAAGTGTTTCCAAGACTGAGCTTTTTCCAGAACTCTGGTCTCCGATCACTACAATAGTTGGCAATGCCAAATCCTTGTGAATGCCAACTGACCTCAGGGTGTCTATCAGGTCAATGTAAGGACGGATGCTCTCCTCTAAATGACTGTGAACTTCTCTCATTTGCTGACTGTAAATATAAAAATGTACATTTTACTTGTAAAAACGTAGGATTGAATATTTTTATCAGGGTTTCTGCAGGTTTCTTCAGGTCAAATTTAAGACTTTTTAAGACCCTTTTAAGACCTTTGCGAATTAAATTGAAGACGTATACAGGGCTAAAGGATTTTTCTAATGGGCCAACTTGTTCTGTAAACAGTTTTTAATCATGGTAGATCATGTAAAGGGGGTGTGTTTCTTTGGTCCCACTTTATATTAAGTGTCCTTAACTAATTTGTACTTACACAGGAATTAATAGTTTGTTACATTGTACTTATTGTGTAAATACATGTATTTAATGTGTACTTATGCTTGATTAAATACATGTATGTAACTACATCTGTAATTAACTTTTGTTATTACATTTGTAAATACACTGTTGACCCTCCCTTACACCTTAACCCACCCTTAAACCCACCCATACCACTAAATCTGTCCATAACCCAACCTCTATCCCAACTCAAAAGCACCACAAGTGTTCTCAAATTCATTATAAACACAGTATGTACTTTGTATTTATTTTTTTGATGTACATATTAGTTAAGGCCACTTAATATAAAGTGGGACCATTTCTTCAGTTTTCTTTCCCTGATAAGGGAATTTAATTAGCAACATTTGCTGTAAAAATGTGTAACAGCTGTTGTGAATTGTCTCTCTTTGCAATAAAAAAAATAAATGTAAAAAATAGTTTTGAGATGGATTATTGATGATTGGGTGTTGGCTCAATAGGGTAGCTTTACCTGCACATGGGAAAATTAAGACCTGTTTAAAATGATTTAAGACCTACAACCCAATATTTATGTGAATTTAAGATTTTTTAAGACCCTGCGGACACCGTTTATTAAATGTTATTTATTTTTATTAAGCTCAACTGCTGCTCTAAGCAAACCATTACGCCGCACCACCTCTCTCAGGTTTGAAATACAGGCTGCTTGTGGATTGAAATACACCCTTTACCCAGACATTTAAATGGTTAAGCTACAAGCAACAACAAAAAATATTGTGATTTTTAAAAATATTTTTTTATGATACTGTTACACAATGTTTAATTTTAATAGGTTTGCCTTAATTTTATGCTATTCAAAAGCTGCTTCGAAAAGTAAAGTAAATCAAGCTTTAAAAAAAGCAATGCAAAACACATACACTACATTGCATACATAAATCTCTAATAGATTTGTATATCATTCTCTGCTTAAGAACACACTTTGAATTAACATTGTTTATAAAACTTGACATACATGGAAAAAGGTTATATAAAAATTGTTTAAAAAAAACACATACCTTTCATAGTGTGAATTTTTAGGATCATCACTGCTTCTAGTTGATGTAAATGAAGATGAAAACATAGAAAACACACTTTGCTTTGAAACAGACATTCTGGGGAGCAAAAAAAAAGTGAGAAAGAGAAACAAAAATGGGTTCAGACTAACTGTAAACTCAAATCAGACTGACTTTATAGTGTGTTACACCCATAATGAGAATGAAAATGAAAATATAAAAAGTAAACACGTAGCAGCGAAGGGTCAATCACGTACTGGACTCTAAAGGTTAATTTAGTTAAGGATTATTAAAGACTGACAACTTAAATAACGTTTTTGCAACCAACCAACCACCATTAAAATTACAACTTAGTTTTATGTAATTTCAAAAGGTTTACTGTACAATTGTACAAAAAAAATCTTCATGTGAAAGAAGTAACTATGTTACCTTGTCATAAAAATGTAGACCTTCCTCATTTAATTTTTCAGCTGGCATCTCTTTTAATTTTGCATCTATACTTTCTGCATAGTTACTTATTAACAACAGACAGTTATTCTAAAGTGTTACCAGGCAAAATCCACTTTTAATAGGTGTCATAACAATTCAGTTGAAAACGTAAAAAGTGAACACGTGTCAGAGGAAGGTCAGTCACGTCCTGGAACTTTAGATTAATTTGGTTCAGACAGCTTATACAACCATGTTTTAGCATTACAACATTGTTTTATGTCATTTCGATAGCAAAATTTGTCTACACCTCTTTATGTGGGTATGGGAAGCTTTTAAATTTGGATGGGAAATCATTATGTGTGGTAAAAGAAGTAATTATGTTACTATAGCATGAAAATCTAGACCTTCTTTGTTTAACTTTACAGCTGACATGCTTTTTAATTTTGCGTCTATTTGTTTTCATGTGAATTTATACCTGTTTCTAAAAATAAAAGGGGATAATTTCACATCGACAATGACAAAAAAAACAACAACCTTGACTTCTGACATATTGTAAAATCATATTTATTTAAAAGTATGTATGGGCTCATTTTGTTAATGTGCATTTCAGATAAAAATACTGATACAAGCTGACATTGATTTACTTTCGTTTAAAGACATTTATCAGTGGATAACACCCTTTATCCCTACAGACAATCCTGTTCAAATTCCTAGAATATTATCATGAGGGTTTATTACTTTAAATAATACAAATGATTAAACTAAACAATGTTACATTCATTACTACCTAAGCCTCAGTGTGTACCCTTTAAGTGTTTTTTCTAAGATTTTAAACACTTCTTCCTTTACTGACCTACAAACAACTATAGTAGTTTCACTTTTGATTCTTAAGCAGTTACAGTATGAAATAGTTAAGCAAGTAAGCAATTTTTATTTCTATAGCACCTTTAACGAGCAAAGGTCAATAAGGTGCTTAAAAGAACATTACAAGATAAAAATCATAAAAGCAAACAAAAACATACGTAGAGCAGAAGATACACATAAGCAAGTACAAATAGGTGTTTTCCAGAACTTAGGAGCCACTACTGCAAATGCACGACCTCCCTTAGTCTTAGTCTGGAATGTGGAACAATTAACAACATCTGATTTGAAGCTTGTCAGTGTTCTATCAGAGTTCTATCTGAGCATTTTAAACTACTTGTAATCGTTTTAAAGATGAATTGCAAGACTGATCAAAATAGAGTTGCAATAATCAACGCAAGTGGAAATTAATGCAAAAATTAAGACACAATTTTGCAATATTTTCTAGCGGATAAAAACAGATTTGAACCTGATAATTCACATCAAGGTTGAGTGTTTGTCCAATATGAACACCTAAGTTGTAAAGACAAGATTTAAGAAAACAGAGAAACATTGCTGGTTCCTGTTTCAGAGGTATATACTGATCCGTTCTTGTGCCAAGCGCAGTCGCTCCATGCGCTGATGCAGTTCTGATCTTTTCTGTCCAGCCTCAGAATCCTCCATTAGCAGCTTCACAACGTCAGCTCCTTCCCGCAGATCCATAGCTTGAGCCCGCAGCATCACGGCAGCTTCCTTCAGCATGAACAACAGGATCACCATGGGAATGTAGTCGGCCAGACGCTGATACACAATCTGATTGACCGAGAGGACATGAGATTTTCAGTGCAATTAAAAAATTAAGGCCACCTATAAGGCAAAATCCACTTTTAAAAGATGTTTGGACAGAAACGTGTGGTGGAATTGTGTGGATACAGCCCTCTTGGAATGATAGAAATCCACCCAGTTAGATATTTCATCTTCATAAAATCAATCCAGGCTCAAAAAACAAGCACTTTGGGACCTGTCCGCAATATGATGTAACATTTGAGTGGCCCAGCCCACCGATATTGACATGTGTATTAGCCAACATAGGCTCATTCTGAAAACGTAGCCCTATATACAATTCTGGAGATCGTGAATTATGTAGCCAGAGGAACGTATTGCATTTCGGCCTTAAAACGAACACTAGAGGGCAGTATGACGACGATTCTTTTTGCACTTACCAGCTGACCACTTACCTCCATATGGGCGGCTTTTCTGCTGTTACCAGTTTGTCCAATAGTTTAACATGTAAGTCAGCAGACTTGAGACACATAGTGAAATTGACTACGACAATGATGTTCGAGTTCAGTAAAGAAAGGTTCCAGAAAGCGGGTAAGAAAAAAACAAAAGCCAAAAACAAAAAAGTAAATAGGATGAGAATGTGGTAAAACCTGAAAACGTGGTCAAAATCAGGCAAGGACTTTTTCTTTTTCTGGATTGCTGTATAAAACTGTGGGTTGGGTTAAGGGAAGTGGCGGGGCGGGTCAATCTGTGCTCTTAAAAAACTATTGGTTGGGTTTAGGGAAGGAGGAGGGTGGGTCAGTTGATTAGTCAGTCAGTCAACAGCGGCCTCTGCTGGATTTACTCGAGAACAGCAGGCGCGAAATGTCACAGAGATTTGAGATCTCACAAAAAGTGTACACAGTTGCCTCTAGGGGATTCACGAAAACAAAAACTGCAATAAAACATACCTCCTGGGACATATTTGGCACTCTCCAGAAATGTATATGGGGTACATTTTCAAAATGAGCCTAGGTTGTCATAAGCATCTTCTGACATCTGAGTAGAGTTGGGTACCAAACCTGGTGCCATAATGTACCTTCGGAAACAGAATGCACATGACCAAATCTGCATATGAATTTCGGTCCTTAATTCCAGTGCCACTAGTACTGTGACAAGAACGTAAAGCAGGTCGTAAACCAGAAGCGCCACCCAGTGCCATCTTAATAGTTTTATTTTAAATAAGATGCAAATGAGCTTGTCTGGTGTGTGATACTATCAACTGTCACATGCGCGCCGTGCAGCGGCTCTGAGCGAAGCATCCAATGTGTGACGCCCTTAAGAAGCATCAAGGGGTGCATCAAAGGCACAAATAAGAACACGTTGTATTACATCATCTCTAAATATTTATTTCTAAACAGCTGAAGGATACAGATGTCAGTGATGTCAGGCATTTGTTCTTGTTGCTTAAAGAAGGCAAAGCATCCTACTCCCTTTATCATCACGCATGATCGCGCTCATCTAATTAGCTTAAACTAAGCAGTCTACAGTTTAGTTATATTTTACAAGCAAGGATTCTGACACACCAACATTCAGCAGATGCTTTACAAAACTTGCGTGTAATGTGGAAACAGGTCAAACTTATGAAATGTGAAGGCTTATGGAATCAACTTAAAGGTGAAGTTCAAAAAGCAACTCATGTAAACACCTAATGTAATGTTAATAGCATAATGCAAATCTTGCATTCATGCTAACAAACAAATGATTAAAATAAATATATTAATGCAATTCAAATATATTAAATATAAATTCATGTTTACTTTAAACTTATTATAAATATATATTTATATTGTTCAATTATAATGAATAAAATATATATATATATTTTTTTGTTAAACAATTTTGTGGGTAAAAAGTATCAGTTTAGGCACCGTTTTGGCACCGGTACCCTTTTAAAAGTATCAATTTACCATCGGTATCAAAATAATCCCAAATGATACCCAACCCTACATCTGAGCCGCTAAAGATGAGGCACATTAGTTTAGCTTTCGAGGGAAATGCTCCCCTTACTCTAAAGAAACCTGTTCAAAAACAGAGCAACATGTTAAATGTATATATGTGTGTAGGGGTGTATATTCATAACATACTTTCTAGCGGAGTTAGAAACTCTACTAAATATAATTTCTGTTTTAGAAAGACTTTCTCTGACATCATGGTTAAATGTCACCTATGTGAGTTTAAATACTCTTTTTCATAACATTTATTGCTATGCTGAAGGTGGCAGCAGATAGTTTACCTCAGATCTTGAAAATACAATAACTAGCAAACATGTTGTTTAAAGGTGCTGTATATGTAAGTTTTGGACTGTTCTAAAGCATGAAAAACCCATAATATGTTTGCAGATATTTAAGAAACATGCTAAGTGAACATTCTTGTTTATCTGAAAACCAATACTGAAGTCGGTTATTTTGCTTTGAAAGTGTACTTTCCATCCTGGAACATCTGTCTTTGTTTTGGACTCTTTTACCCACCCAATACCAGTTTAGCCAATTATATTTTAGCACCCCCGGCTGCCTTGGTTGAAAACAGTGTATTTCATTCATTCAGTCAGGACGATTTTCAAAGTATCCATCCGCGACCAAAATGCATCCTCCGGTAGATAGTAACAGCCTCCGAAATAAGACGCAGATTCAGATATTACGAATGTAAACATTAGTTGACGTGATGAATTTTGCAGTGATGGGAAATGTGGCTGTTTGCACCAGATGCAACATGACAGAAATTTAAATACAGCCATTCAGAAGCAAAAAATAGTGCACTCACTGCACTCCAATGAAATGGGAAGGTTTATTATCGAATTAATACATATTAAACCTCTTTAAAATCATTAAATGTACATACTGAATAACTGATATATGTTGGTTTGCATTATTTCACAGTTTTAAAGTTCAATTTCTAATGGTTTATTTTATTATTAAGATCTGAGGTGAACTATCTGCTGCTGCTTTCAGTAGTATATGGCAATAAATGTCGAGTAAAATGGCATTCAAAATCACATTGTTAGCATTTAACACTGAATAAAGCACATGAAGTGTACTTGAGGGGATCATTGTCAGTTTATTCTGTTTTTCACCTGTGAGAAATAGAAGCTGTTTCTAAAATATAAATTTCAGGTGTTAGTTAGGACAAAAACTCCTTTTAACATGGAGAATATTCTTTCTATCGGGTGCCGTTGCTTTTATTTAGGACACAACTTAAATAAGCCTTTAAGCTCAATAGTCAAGCACTCTCCTGTTGATGTCATCAATCTGTCAACCTGTGCTTGCATGTGTTTTAAACCAGGAGTGCAATACCTAGTTAAACCACTAGGTGTCAAACTTTCATACTGCACCTTTAAACATGATAATTAGAACTGTGGCTCAGTGTAAACTAACAACATCAGTCATTCTGATTGTCATTTTAATAATGTTAATGAGGTGGTTTTAAAAGGTTTTGCACGTGTCATCTGGTGCAGATAGCCAAAAAGCTGGAATTTTGTTTCTTGTTAGGTATCAGAATTGGACATGTCAAAAATTTGTTCTTAAACATGGGGCAGGGAGAACCAGCTTTTTTGCATTTAAAGATGCATACACAGTAAAAGCGTGCTTATCTCCTCACTCAAAAACTTTGTGAAAAAAATATTTTGTGCTGAAACTTCAAATTCTTGGACCACTGGAGACTTATATTAAATCTTGCAAAAAGAAGCATAAGACCCTGGAAAATTATTGTGTGATACCCTTTAAAGAACCCAAGATACTGACATTGAAATGGGTTTTTACCTCATAATAGATGATCAGTTTATCAGGTGTCAGGTTCCTGGTGTCAAAAACAGCACAGTTGTGGGGTGAGGTTGCATCTTCTCCTGTGTCCAAAGTAACAGACTCATACTCCTGTCTTTTTTCCACAAATTTGAAGTCTACAATTTTCTGGGTAAAAATGGGATCCTGTGTGTACACAAGTTTCTCCATGTTAATGTACTCATGGATCCTCTTTTCCACCTTGCTCTCTTGCTTTGAGTGAATCTCGTCAATGTGGTTCTAAGAGACAACAAAATATTAGAGAATGTTACGTTTCAGGACTATTAGTGTCTTATAAAATGATACAAAATGATAAACAAGAGTCATTTGAACCTACCTGTATTATGTGTCTCAGATGCGGGTAGTTTGGGAAACATAGCTCGCACATGACCCTAAACTCTTTCTGCACAATACCTATGATAATAAACAACATTTTAATAAAAGATTTCAAATCTAATCTACATTTATTGTAAAAACTGGCAGTAAAAATTAAGCTGCTACCTCTGATTAGTTTTAGTGTTTCCATGGCTGGTTGTTTAAGGTCTCCAACATGTCTCTTTACCATTGATTCATACACACAGTAGTCACTGAAGGTCACCAGCTCTCGCCCACGATGGCCTTCATCATAATTTTCTGTCATCTCTTTTACAGATTCTCTGACTAAAATAAATAAACTTACAATAGTGATTTTAAACACAAAATAAAAGTTACTCCAGTAGGTGATAAGAAACAACAAGAACCAACTTAACTGTTTAGTTCAAAATGCTGATTCATTTAAGAGAGAACACTGCTAGTCGTTTTTGATCGGAGATGCAGCAGTTATTCAGTTCAGATGTAATATGGAATTTAGCATTGTATAGCAGAGGTTTAGCAAAATAGCTTTTCACCGAATGGTACCCTACATACTTCTAAATACTGCACTGAAAGTTCATAATTCATGCTGTAACAGTGCATTGACTGTTGGTTAAAAGTCTGTTGTTGTGTTCACTCAACTGTAGGCTCAAACTTTCCAAACTCCACTCAGAAATGCTGTTATGATCATCAGCGATCTAGCAGTTGCAGATCGCTGAAGAACTGCCATTCTGCGGCAGATATGAACTACAAATCCCATCATGCACTTTCCTCACACATCTAGCAAAGATCCCCCTTGATTACAACCACAAACAGCTGAAGCCGTTTAGGACTAATCAGATGAACAATAAACATAGCGCACACACACACATCGTAGCTGAGTCTTATTTCTGTTTAGAGTATTGCATAAGTGTTATCCTTGTCTTGCCTTCCTGTGTTTTTAACCTTGACTAGCATGCAGAGCATCCGAACAAACACTTTTTAATAAAATTGTCTTGTATCGGTCATAAAACAGTTACACTATTAAAATAAATCAAGTCATAGTTTCAGAGAATTTGTACAAGGCAGGATTCAATCCGGGGCCATTTGCAGCACAGTAACTTTGTGCACATGCACGATCCACAAATGACCCTTTCAGATAAACGCAAATTCGCCCAGTCTCAAAACATTTCTGAAATGACTGATGCTTTAAATCAGTATAGTCACGTGAACTGGGTGTTTCGAATCACCTTAGTCATGTTACCTGGGTGTTTCAGATCATGCTTCAGTGCAGTGTCTCGAAACACTTGCGCTTTAACGTCAGTTTTATGTCAGCTGGCAATTCTTCCTGTTGTTTTGTCGCCTGACCCGGCCATTTGCCTGCTTTTGACTATGCTCTTGGATTTGCTGTATGCTCCTGTTTGCCCCTGTTTTGACCGTTGCCTACCTGACTATTCTCTTTAATAAACTGCATGTGGATCCTCACCTCTGACCCCTACATGGCAAATGCCTCTTGGCCCAGCCAAAAGTCAAACCAGCAACCTTCTTGCTGTGAGGCAACGGTGCTAACCGTAAAGGGAATTGTGTGTTATTACTCATTTATTCAGTTTCTTTTCGGCTTAGTCCCTTTATTAATCTGAGGTCACCACAGCGAAACGAAACATCAACTTATCCAGCTTATGTTTTACGCAGCGGATGCCATTTGGTCAATTACAGCCAATTTAGCTTATTCCATTTATCTATAGCGCATGTCTTTGGACTTTAAGGGAAACTAGAAGGCCCAAAGAAAACCCACGCGAAAACATAGAGAGAACATGTAAACTCCACACAAAACTGCCAACCGACCCAGCCTAGGCTCGAACCAGCGACCTTCTTGCTGTGAGGCGACCCACTGCACCACCGTGTTGCCTGTGTGTAATCATACTCAGTGAAAAATTAATTGATGGTATTTTATTAGGTCATATATCTAAATAACATACACAATGCTTTGGAGTTACTCAGATGACATTCCCATTGCTTGAACACTGGTCGAAGGAGTGAGTAGAGGTTTCCAGTTTCTGATTCTCCAGTTCTACACAATTCACTGATCTGGTCACTGAACTCCAAGATTTTCTATACATAAAGAGAAACAGAATCAAAAATTGGTTCATTCAAATCAGGCTTCTCCTGATTTTGGAAAATATAAGTAATGATATTTGCTCTCTCTGTACCTTGCTGAGATATGGCCCCATGCGCTCAGTCTCTAAAGGAGGACCATCAGCATAACTCCTGAGCTCAATCCTCACTGCAGACAAGTTGATGTGAATTTGATCTCTCAGAGATGGCAGGGAAGCCTGTAAAAGAAGGAATAACTTTGTAAGTTTAGAGTTTGGAGTAGGTTTTAGAATATTTTGACCTGTTTAGACTTGCCTTGATATGTTCAACCAGTTCTTTAGTAAGTCTAGTGGACAGGCAGGAGGTTGTGGCCCTCTGCTCTTCAAGAAGATAACTGATGGCAACAGACACACTCTTAAATGGATTTGTGCATTGTATAAAACACAGGTGTCAAACTCAGTTCCAAAAGGGCCGCTGCTCTGCACAGTTTAGTTCCAACCCTAATTAAACACACCTGATCAAACTAATTGAGTCCTTCAGGTTTGTTTGAAACCTACAGGTAAGTGTGTTGGAGCAGGGTTGGAACTAAACTGTGCAGGGCTTCGGCCCTCCAGGAATTGAGTTTGACACCCCTGGTATAAAATAACAGTTATTGAATAATATCCAGGTTAATGGGTTATTTTACCCCAAAACATATTTTTTATTCACCCAAAGGACTTTTGCTAATCTGTTCATCATATAAAGCCACCACAGGCTAACTAAAAATATGTACCTCAGCCTACATTTTTGTAAAACTTGAAATATGTAGCTCGTGAATGTTTGGTTGCATGTTTCAGATGACAAATCCACTAGAGGGCGCTTTCTCCATTTTTGCAAATCTGAAATACATTACTTAGGGTATGTTTTGTTGTATGTTTCAGTTACACGTCCTTCTTATATACTTTGATGAGAAGGCATTGTTTATATCCACATTACAACGCGAACCAGATTTAAACCCAAACGCATTGCATTACAAGTACAAAGTAAGCCACGAGCAAACTGACCACGGCATAAAAGTTGTTCATATAAAGATAGACATTTGAGGAAAACATATTCTATTACAAATTATAGACACAGTTAAATTAATTATCCCTGTAGCTATCATTAGTGTGAAAAGTTACAAAACGGTTGTTGTCATACTGCCCCGCAGCAATCACTTTAACTAGAAACTGATGTCAGATTTTTTATTTTGAGTGCATGTAAATAATACCTAAAGTGCGGGTGGTTGCTGAAGAACTCTTTTTCCTGTCTTGTGGCTTCAGAAAGAGAAACGTTTTCATTGATGTCACTCTGGCCTCTGCATCGGACAATGGTGTAGCCTTTTTTGAGAGGAACCACTTTGCCTTGTAGCACTTGTAAGATGTCAGCTTCTGCTCCTTTATCCACCAGGTCTGGCTTTGTTAATATCGCTGAAGCAAAAAAAAAAAACATATTTGAATCGACATAAAAAGCCCTTCTGTCATATTTTGTGTTATATAATTAATAAACCTAATAACATTTCATAAATATATATGCCTGATCTCATGAGAAAACATACAAGTATTGTATGTTTTGTCAATTTTTTGTGGCAAATTTGTACATGTTCAATTGTACAATATGAAATTGTAGGATTTCAAAAAAGAGGTGTGGCACCCAACCCCTCCCCTAAACCCAACCATCATTGGTTCATGATCAAATCGTACTAAATAGGACAAATTAGATTGTACAAGTTCATATGAATTATCCACTAAATCAAAAAGTTAGAACTCAGAATTAGCCCACTGAATTATTAGCCCCTGAATATATTTCCCCCAATTTCTGTTTAACAAAAAGAAGATTTTTTTCAACACATTTCTAAACATAATAGTTTTAATAACTTCTAATAACTGATATCTTCTACCTTTGCCATGATGACAGTACATAATATTTGACTGGATATTTTTAAGATACTAATATTTGACTTAAAGTGCAATTTAAAGACTTAACTAGATTAAATTAGGTTAACTAGGCAGGTTAGGGTAATTAGGCAAATTATTGTATAAATGATGGATTGTTCTGTAGACAATCAAAAAAATATATTGCTTAAGGGGGCTAATAATATTGACCATAAACAAATAAGACTTTCTCCAGAGGAAAAAAACAAAATAGGAAATACTTTAACAGCTAATATTTGGAAAATATTTGAATAAGAAAAAAAAAATCACAGGAGGGCTAAACATTTGTAAAAAAAAGTTTATACCTAAAGTCCTCGAGCCATCAGGATCGACACCTTGAGCCATTCTAAGTGCTTCAGTGGTTGCAATGTCGACATTGCAGGGAACAACAACCAAATTAATGGTTTCTTTTTTTGCAATGAATTTCAAAATTAGCCGCCGAATCTGCAATCAATCAACAGTTAATAAAGAAGACAATGAAGACAGCAGACATTTAAAACTGTAGTATACTAGATTGTCATGTATGCTCTTATCAAGTTACAGGGTTGAAGAGTGGACACAGTACAATATTTGATTAATTCATAAATAATTTCCTTTTTTTTAATTAGCATTTTGCTGTATTTCAAAGTTTAAGATTGGTCAATTTAAACCTGCAAATTGAATAATCCTAACCATTGAATTCAGTTTTACCTTGAATTCATTGAATCCCCACAGTTTCAGCTAAAAGATCAACAATGCTGGATTTACACCAAACATAAAGCACAATGTCATGTTTACTTGTGGGATGTTTTTCACCTCAAGCAAATTTTCAGCTGAATTACTGAGTTGAATTACTGGAACTTGCGTAGAAGATGTGATTGAAGTAAAGATGTGTTTGTGGCATTGGAATTCCGCGTCCTTCCCACCAAATTTTACATTTTAAACTACGACTTTAATTATACAAATTCGATCCGGTTCATAAATTGAAAATAAAAAATCTATTATATAAAATTAAATAATGTTTTAACGTTTTTTTTTAATCCAGTTTAAAATTGAATTAAGTTCAGTTTTATTATTTTAATTAAATTTTTGTGTTAAATTTGACTTGATTCCTTCTCACTGAAAAGATCAGTCAGGTCAATTATAATTACACAAAAAATGTGTATAGTGATGTTTCATTCATCACATGAAATGTCAAGTTGTTCACATTGCATTGCTTTATTTTCACTACACATTTTGTTAATAGCATAAAGTGCAACTTACTATTACTGTATTTAAACTAAACATAGACATTTGCTTTTTAATAAAGCAATTTTTCTGATGTTCACCTGGTCTCCGATGTCTTCTGGTTGGCCTTTGACTGGTACTCTGGTTATACCAGGCAGATCGATCAGCGTGAGGTCACAGACATCAGGTGATGTAATCTCCAAACTGATGAGATCATCACAGATTCCTACTCCATCTCCAGCAAGCATATTCTGTGCTGTAAATGATAAAAACCTACTAACCCTCCAATCTTTATGAAGATTATAACTGATGAAGCTATATTATGTCCTGCTATGTTATAATGATTACTAAACATGTTTGGTTTAAAAGTAGCCTTACCTTTTCTGACAAAACTTTCAACTTGTGCGGGTTCATGAAATGTCTCTCGCACATCATTGTAGGAGATTACAGCAGTCCATCCACTCCCACTACTCATCTTTCTCAGTTTAAGCTCCAGTGGACACCGAGTGACAATACCTGTTAAGCAAAAGAATGTAAAAAAATATAAGAGTGTACACTATGGTAAGTTGATTTTATATTTAACAGTTAATATTGTGTGATCCTTATTTTAGCTTCTAGAATCAATAACTAACATTCTATTTCTAATTTTCTATATTCAAGTGCTTATTCTAAATAAAAATATTAGTGCTTTTTTCTTTAGATGTCACCATTTATTACAAAACAAATTGTACTTAATAAATACTAATTCCTTTTCATTAAATATCAGATACTAGTAAATATTTAATAAATCGTATTACTTTTTTCAACAGTGACTATAGTTCTGTCATGGGTAACATTAGTAAATAAATCTATGGAAAGCTGACATTTAGTAATTATCCATTGGTTGCTAGTATATATATATATATATATATATATATATATATATATATATATATATATATATATATATATATATATATATATATATATATATATATATATATATATAGTAGACTACTTATTAAATTTAGGACCAGTACATATTACAATTATTACTTATTATTATTTAATTGATACTAGCATTTATTCATCCAATTTGTACTATTAAGAGGTTCGGTGACTATTCTGAGTAGTCATAGCATGATTAAAAAAACAATTGTGACTAGTGAGACAACAATTATTACTAAAAATAAAAACCTAATTCAAATGTTACTGACAAAAGACAAGTTACTTTTCACTAATGCATTATTAAAATCTACTGCACTATGAGTTACACAAGAACTAACAATGAACATTTATTTTCATCACCTAATGTCAACAAAGATGAAAAAATCTTTCATTTATATTTTTCATGTTAGTAAAATAACTAATAGACCTTTTTTAAATGTACAGTATACTAATTATGTTGCTAAAGAATATAAACACTAGTTCTTAAAGCTATAGAATACACACCAATATCTGTCACAATTTATTTTAAGGTGTCCTTGTTACACAAGTAGTAATTACAATAAACTATTCATAATGACAAGTGACTGACCTTAAACCTAAACTATATTTTAACCCTAACCATATTATTATTATTATTATTATTATTATTATTATTAGTATTATTATTATTATTATTATAAATTTTATTTTACCAGGAAAGACACATTGAGATTAAAAATCTCTTTTACAAGAGCGTCCTGCTAAGATTTAGCAGTATACATGTCACATACTGTAGGTCTAACAGACAATATAGTTAGTACATGTTAATATAACACATTTAGTCATATTAATTACATGTACTTACTAGCTATTTAGCAAATAGTACTTTTGTATTTAATATTCCCTTAGAAGTTAAATGAATAGTTATACTGTAACAAGGACATTTTAATATAGAGTGTAACCCCAAAATATAATGAATAAGTACTAGTTTTGTTAATATACAGTAGTACCAGTAAATAAAGTAATAGATGCTACAAGCTGAAAAATAAAATAATAATACACAATAGATACCAGTTAAAAACCAGCCTACTAGTAGCATAAAAATAAACACTACTGTAAATGAATAATGTTCAGAACCAGTCAGTAGTAAAAAATACATTGTATGGGGCAAAACCATTAATATATTAAGTAAAAATCATGTTTCATGAAGATATTCTGTAAATTTCCAATCGTAAATATATTAAAACATATATATATATATATATATATATATATATATATATATATATATATATATATATATATATATATATATATATATATATATATATATATATATATTTAAATAGTTTTATCTCAAATAGCCAAATATTTTCTGATCTTAACAAAGACATCAATGCAACACTTACAAAATCAGCTTTCAGATGGTGTTTAAAATCTCAAAATTTTACAAACATTAGGACTGGCCCAGGGTAAAATGTTAAAATGGATTGCCATATATATAAATATAATATATACAATGCTTTATAGGAGTATAACGCACCACTTCCACGAGGCAGAGCGACTCCAGATAGGGCCTCTAAAACAGAGCTTTTCCCTGAGCTTTGGTCACCAACAACTGCGATAGCTGGCAGTGCAAGCTCCCTCTCGATGCCGATCCGCCTCATAAAGTCAATCATCTCGATGTAGGGACGAACCTGTGCATCCCACTGCTGCAGAAATATCCCACTGTTCTCATGACTCGAAACACAAACATTTAAAGGGTTACTTACTTAAAAATAAAGATTCTGTAATCTATTACTCATCCTCCCCATTCCAATTCCACGAGACCTTTATTCAGAACACAAATTAAGAGCTCTCTGATCCTCCATATAATCAGCAACAGTGCAGAGATGTCCAGAAAAGGAACCAAAATAATTGTCAAAACATCCCAGGTGTCTTCAATGGTTCAATAGTAATCATATGAAGCTCCAACAACAGTTTTGTATACCAAAAGAGCTTTAAAAAATGACTTTGTTTACCTATGTTTTCCTCATCGCGTTTGATGTTGCTTTTACGGGCAGTGCAACACTTGTTATGTACACTGTAATGGCAGTACATTCTGTAGTCTGTAGTAAATGCACGTCCTGACCAATATACAGTAAGCACACAGTCATATTTACAATTTGTTTTGCTGCATTAAAGGGTTCTTGGGGTTTATATAATTACAGTTGAATTACTGAAGTCACATGGAATGTTTTGACTATATTTTTTTGTAGACTTTCAGCATCTTAAATCTTATATCTTAATTTGTGTTCTGAAGATGAACAAGGAACAATGAGCATCGCTGATTTAAAACCTGGATGTCAGATTACGTTCAGAATAAAAATGCTTCAATTAAAAACTTCCTTACCCATTTTCATCTGAAGAATCAAAGTCCAATATTTCTGGTGAGCTGTCCATGACTGAAATGAAATCTCACAGACTCAGCCAAAGTGTGATATTATATTAGAAAATACTTTCTTTTAGCCACAAATGTAATGTCTTTATTTTATTAATAAATCAAGTAAAGGTCTAAAACTAATTCTGACAAATCAGAGTCAAATGCATTTCATGAACCTTTTATAGGCATTATTTGCCTGTGGTTTAGGGGTGTTCCACACACAACAGTCAAACATAAGCAGAAATTAATTTTAACCCTTTTGGACCCTGCATGCATTTTAATGGACATCATGTCAGGTCATTTTTTTTTTATATATATATTTTTGGGCCATTTCACCAAACTTAAAGCCAGTAGTCCATGAAATTAGACTTTTGCCATTCAGCAGTAAAGCTCTGTTTGTTGTAATTAGGGTGAAAAGAGGACACACTTTGTTCCAAAAACAGTAGTAAGGAACATTTTTAATGATTTTATTCACATGTATTAATATGTTTACCAATATTTAATAGATTATATAGAAAGAAGAAAGATAGCGTTTACTAATATAAGTAAAAAATCGATTGTATGGCAAGCTTTAAATCAGGTTGTGTGTCCATTATATGCACAGTGGGTTTAGAGGTAAACCTGATAGTTTATCCAAAAAGCACTATTTACTCACCCACAAGTAATTCCAAATGTCTTATGATGAGTTTCTCTTTTTTTCTGTTTAACACAAAAGAGCTGAAAACCTGTAATCAATCACTTCTAAAAAAAAATAAAATAAATAAAGGAGAAAGAAAACCAATACTGTGGAAGTCCATGGTAACATGTTTCCAGCTTTCTTCAAAATATATTTCTTCAAAAAGTGTTCAACAGAAACTTATAAAAGTTGAAGCAAGGCAAAGATAAGTAAATGATGACAGAATTTTATTTTTGGGTATACAATTTTTTTGAGTGTCTATAGATTATAGTGTGCAATGTGCAAAACCTGAAAGTTCGGGAACACTTTATTTTGATGGTTTCTATTGCACATTTTCAACTACATGCCAATTAATTGCCATTTGAGCATTAGTAGACTGTCTGCTTAATATCTGCTGATACTGCTCCTTCAACACATTTAACTGACTATAAGAAACTTAATCTAAAACAGTCCTACTTATAATCTAGAGAATTAGTTGGCATGTTGATGTAATGTAACTTAGATTCAACAAAATGCGTTAAAGGGACCATCAAAATAAAGTGCTACCGAAAGTTCAACTGTTATATTTTTCAAGTTCGTAACCTTCAGAAGAAACTTCAAGTAAGGATCAACAATTTCTATAATTTTATTTTTAAATTTTTATGTCAGTATCTTGTTTTTGAAGTACAGCTGTTTTGACCTGATGTCCGTTGACATTGACAAACCAATAATCAGTTATAATGGTTGTTACAATCTAGATTTTTTTATTTTGTCTTGTTTATGGAAGCCTTAAGAACTTAACATTGAAACGTAATTCAGTTCTGAAGAGAGTAAAGAAAACAGTCAGCACTTTGACGGTGCAGTTATTTAACAGAAAGAGGAAGAACATGAGGCAAATATACTTGAACATTTCTCAAGATGTTTTATGGGAACTACTGTAGTAGTTCCCATAATTTTGTCATTTGATGACCTCTTTATGACTTTGCATTTCAAATTTGAGAAAAGAGTTTTTATAGTTTGGCTGGAAAAAAATTGAGCATACACAAATTATTGAAAGACGGTCACTATGTTGTGTGTGTTAGCTACAAGAGTCTCTAAAAATACAAATGAGGAAGCAGATATTTGCATTGGTTGTTTTAAAACAAACCTGGCATGCCATTTCAGTAAATGTTTTACATAAAAAAATCTTGATTTACACTTTATTTCTGTTTTTTTAGGTCACACTTTACAAAAAGGTTACGTTAATTCATGTATTTAATAAGAACGAAATATAATTATATAGCATTTATCAATCATTATTTTTTTACTAATGTGGGCGACACAGTGGCTCTTTGGTTAGGTCTGTCACCTGTCACGCTGGTTTGAGTCCCTGCTGGGTCAGTTGACATTTCCGTGTGGAGTTTGCTTGTTCTCCCAGTGTTAGCGAGGGTTTCCTCTGGGTGGGAAGACGCACGCTATAGGTGAATTGAGTGAACTTAATTGGCCGTAGTGCATGCGTGCTAATGAGTGTGTATGGATGTTTTTTAGTACTGGATTACAGCTGGAAGGGCATCCGCTGTGAAAAAACATGCTGGATAAGTTGGCGGTTTATTCCTCTGTGGTAACCACTGATGAATAAAAGGACTAAGCCGAAGGAAAATGATTGAAAGTTTACTAATACATTATTAAAACCTCATGTTGTGCTAACATTAGTTTATGCAACTGTGAGTAAATGATGACTAACAATGAATGACTTCATTTTCATAAATAAAGATGAATATATTACTGTAATAAATGTATTGTTCATTAAATGTAAAACAGTCCCTATGGTTTTGATGTGACCGAATGTAATTATTTCTCAGGCCCTTGCCAAGGTCATCCAAAACACAGCACCCTTTGTAACATATGTTTATTCTATTTATGTTGACAGCAAAATGCCTTTTGGTAATTTTTTTAATTAAAGGAGGAAAACATGTTTTGTTATTCTAAGATTTCAAGGATGTGGAACAAAATTGCTTCTGTTTAAATGGCTAAAGTTTAAATATTTTCTTCCATTTGAGAATTTTGCTTGAATAATACTCAAGTTAACTTGATTAAAGGTAACTAGACTTTTCTTTAAAAAAAAAAAAAAGGTTAGATGTTTAGTCAAAATGCAACACAATCAAAACAACATTTTTTCATGCAGCAGAGGTTAATAAAATTTAAGTAGCTGCAAATCTTTATGGACAAAAGGTCTGTTGTAGTAAAGTAAAATTCACACAGAAGCCCATTTTAAAGCAATGGGCTTTCTGTTTGGTCGTCTTGAAACAAATGACAAATCTGCATGGGTATACCTTTCATGTGAAATCCCCATTCGTATCGATATATGTAATTAGTAACTGTGCATGACTAGTCCAAATTCAATTCAATGACAGATCCCATGTAGATAGAGAGCACACGCAAATAACTAACAAATATATGAACAAATATCAATGTCAAAATTATACATATACAACATACTTGCCTGAACATATTAGCAAACTAATAAATGAGGGTGCTGCATTTTATTATATACTTCAAATGTTCAAAAATAATGGAAAAAAACTCCACTGTAAAACATGATATGATCATGACAAGATGTTTGTATTTGACTTTTTAAAACAATTTAATCAGGTTTTACTGTATTTTTACATTTTAAATAATTTTAACTTAAAGTTTTAATTGAGTTTATTAGATATATTATAAGTTGAAATGACTTGTAAAGTTAATTTGGTTCAACTTAAAACATACAAGGCAGGAACTATTATTTCATGGTATAGTGGCTTACTATAAATAATTCTGGGTGCCACACAATGCCTTCACATCGTCCTAACACAAATCAACCAAATTTAGTTGTTTTTACTCATTAAGTAGATTGAGCATAAAATAATTAGGTTGTTCCCAAAAAAAAACTCAAGAATTGTTTTTTATGTAGTTTTTTGAGTGTACATTATATAGTTGAAGTCAGAATTATTAGTCCCCCTTTGATATATATATATATATTTCCCAAATGATGTTAACAGAGCAAGGAAATTTTCACAGTATGTCTGATCATTTTTTTCCTTCTGGAAAAAGTTGTATTTGTTTTATTTCAGCTAGAATAAAAGCAGTTTTAATTTTTTTAAAAAACATTTAAAGGTCAATTGATTCTTTCAGTTTATCTTTTGCAACCTTATAATGACAAGCGGAAAGTGATTTTTGTTCTGCATTTGACCTGCTTATCAAAATACTACTTACTTTTAATTGGTCTTCCATAAACAAGAAAAAAAATAAGCCAAAATACCAAATAAAATGTAAACAATTCAACAAAAAGACAAAAAGTTTAATCTTGTTGCAGCCAAGAACCTGTGAGAATAAACTGAACATTATTTATTATCAATTATGCTTTGTAGTGAACTACAATGAACTCGAGAACTACATCAGGAAATGTGAGAATCCTCAAAAACGTTTAAAGTGGAAACTTATGCATGAAGTGCTTTCTCTTAAAGGGACAGTTCACCAAAAATGTACAATTCTTTTTAACCTGCAGCAATGTCTATGTTCTGCTAAACACAAATGAAAATATGTCAATAAACAAAAATATCTCTCCACCCATTTACAGCATAATTGGAAAAATAAATACTATGGGATAGTAAATGGGTGTTAAATAAAGATAGAGTGTTCATTTTTGAGTGAACTGCAGTTTAAGTGTAAAGTGAACATCTGTTTAAGTGCTTTAATATCTTAAATACCCTCCAAATAATCAACACTGACCTCTTTCAGTGCATCAGAATGATCTCAAAATCTCTCAATGAGTTTTTCAAACAAAAATATTAATCTTTTTCTGTCCTCTGCGTATGGCGAGTCTGTTTCAGTGTGTCCTGTGCCCTTTGTCCTAAGAACCATGGCGTTGACCGTCTCTCTGTCTCTTTCAAGAGCCGCCCTGTCCCGTTCAAGCCTCGCTCTGTCCTGTTCCAAGAACGCTCTTTCTCTGTCAACCGCTGCTCTGTCCTTTTCCAGCTGCGCTCTGTCTCTTTCCAGCGCCGTTTTCTCTCTTTCTGCGACAGATTTTTCGCGTTCCAGAAGCAACCGTTCTCGATCCAGGTCCGCGTGCTCCTTTTCTAGAAACAGTCGCTCTCTTCTGAGTTTGGCTCTTTCCAAATGTAGCTCGCCTTGAGTCTCTGATGGGCTTTTTTCTATTTGTTTCTCTTTCACGCTTTCAGCTGTGTCTGACGAGGGTCCTACATCAGCTACTGTTGTTTGAGTGTTGACTTCGATCACGGAGTGTGTTAGTAATTCGAGAATATCACTCCCCATTTCCACCTGATACATCTTCTTGCTGGGCTGGGCTGCACAATCGGGTTCGTCAGCCAGGTTAGATAATAAAGTGGGTTTAGGAGGGTCGATGTCTCCTGGGTCACCATCAACAGCCTTTTCCATGAGTCTGAACCATCGCCAGGATTCAGGTTTAACCGTTTCCACATCCTTCGCAAGAGCTTTTAAGACCTAGAACAAAAAAAGAAAAACTAAAACGCATCTGGACAATTGCATCACATATTCAGGGCAACTGGATAATATTGGCATCCTTGGTAAATATGAGAAAAGAATGCTGTGAAAAAATGACTGTTGTTCAACATTTTGACATTGCTTTCTCTCTCTCTATACATATATTAGTGGTGGGTTGTTATCGGCGTTAACATATTGCGTTACTGCGAGACTCTTATCGCGCGATAAAAAAAATATCGCCGTTAATCTATTCTCAAAGTTGGGTTGGGAGCTGGGTCTATTCCACGCAAGCTATGATGACTTTGACCTTGATATTTTAGCGCAGATGTATACCTGACTGGTAAGCCCTTCTGAATCAAATCAGCAGGATGCCTGACTTTAACTGCAGTTCGGCTTCAACTCTTTTCACTTCAACTCATGAACATTTCATTCATGCCGCCGAGACAAACTGGGGTATTAGACGCAAATAAGGAGTAATAACTTGCTTTATTTCCCTAATTCACCTAGTAAACCTAATTAACCTAGTTTAGCCCCTCAATTGGGTGGTTTTGAATTTAATTGTGTGGGTAAAAAATGACATAGGCGGGTAGTGAAAATTTAGGAGGTTTGGCGTGCTCACCAGCCCCGGTCTTCACTTATAAACCTGTTATGATCTCCCAAAATGATGCCATACCCCCGACCAACAAACTCTTACAACGGTTGTGACATCTAGATTAACTTAGAATAAAAAAAGTAATCTATGCCCACCTATTACATATTATTATATGATGACAGTACATAATGTTTTACTAGATACTTTTCAAGATTCTAGTACTCAGCTTAAATTAATATTTAAAGGCTAAACTAGGTTAATTAGGTTTACTAGGTGAGTAAGGAAAATAAAGCAATGAATGTATAACAGTGATTTGTTCCGTAGACAATCAAAAAATATAGCTTAAAGGGCCTAATATTATTGGCCTTAAAATGTTTTTTAATTAAAAACTGCTTTTATTCTAGCTGAAATAAAACAAATAAGACTTACTCCAGATTAAAAATATATATATTTTAGAAAATGCTGTAAAAATGTACTTGCTGTGTTAAACATCATTAGGGGAAATTCCCATGAGGGCTAATCATTTTGACTTTAATATAACTTTATAAATATTGTAACTCAGTGGGAGTTGACGAAGCCTTTATTCCTCTGTGTAGTTTTCGAGGACAGCATTATGTGCTTCAGCTGGAAACCCGATAGGGATTAATGAAGTAAACAAAAGATTATAATCAAAGCTTTTTATAGAGGTAGCTAACAGATGTTATTATGAGCTAGGGCTACAAGATATTGGAATAAACTGACATTGCAATGTTTTTCAGCGATATTGCCTATTATACAATAACTTTACAATGCTAATTTAATATTTATTTATTTTATATTGAATTGAATTGAATTTATATATATGAGCTATTATCAATGTTCAAGCCATCTACATGCACATTAATGAACTCTCAAATGCCTGCAAAGTGATAGACCTTACTGTCATACCTGACAATAATTCGGTGAAATATTGTGCTGCCTTTGAGCATTGAGCATTACTAGTTGTAACTTGTCTATATCTTGGCAAATGACCGTGAAATAAATAGCGGGAATCAATGGCTTATGGATAAAACCATGGTTCTTGAGGTAGAGAAAGTCTCCAAAACTACAATGTGAGATAATCAACATCATCTCAAATCACCACTAGTCTCTTCCAAAAACAAACTCAAAAGTTTTTAATTAAAATAAAATAAAAAAATTAAATAAATAAAAAAATTAAATTACAAGTCACCTTTGGTCATATGTACTCATATTTACTGTATCACTATTTGTGGAGGCCACTATATCTAATATGAGAGATATTAAATATAGTTTCATCTAATTTTTTAAAATGCAAATGCTCATTTTTAAATGCAGATAATTTTTACCTTGTATTTGCATTTTAGATTCTCCCACTTTCGTTTTGCTCTTTGAGAAGTAATATTTCCATCCAGGTTTAGGATTGACTCTTGTATGAACATCCTGCAAGCAGAAAACACAGGTTAAGGTTTAAACATGTTTCTAACATGAAAAAAAAGAAATAGTATGTTCATATAAGTGTGCACTTAATAAAAGAAAATCCCTATATCTGTTTATTGTAATGTTACTTGTTACATTGTTTACATTTTGTTATTTTCTTAATTTTTTTAATACAACATTTATAAAAATACAGAAGCAAAGGGCTGCACAACATATTGTTTCAGCATTGATATGGAAAGGTGTGCATCTGCGATAGTCACATTGCAGCATATGCAATGTTGAGTTGGGTTTATAGTTGACCAGAAGTTTTTTTTTTTTTTTTTTTTTAATTGGAAATCTATTTTTAAGGCCTGTGACTGTACAAACATTTCAAGAGTTTACAGCATTCAGGCACAAGAAATTGTGCCATCTGTACTTTTAATAAAGAAATGTTTTATTATTTATACAGTGAAAACTATACAGTGTTTTAACATTTGATTTTTTTTATTTTTATTTCTGTACCTGATTACTGTTTGACAAAAGCACAAAGCAACAATACTTGTAGTTTTGTTTATTATTTTTATGCATGATTCAATCCCCTATTGAAATCAATCTGAACGAATAAACATTTTCCAAACAGAGTTATTGAAGGCATCTAATGAACATGTTTTAATTTTGCAATTATTATTGCAGAATTTATTTTAGAAAAAATTAATTATTGCAATGTCAGATTTTTCCAATATCGTGCAGCCCTAATACCGATGAAACAATTCAAAATAAAAAAAAACACTGATATATGCAGTTGAAGTCAGAATTAATAAACCCAATTTTCTTTTTTAAATACTCCCCAAATAATGTTTAACAAAGTAAGAAAATTTTCACAGTATGTCTGATAGTATTTTTTCTTATGGAAAAAGTCTTATTTGTTTTATTTCGACTAGAATAAAAGCAGTTCATTTAAAAAAAAAAAAAAAAAAAACATTTTAAGGTCAAAATTATTAGCCCCTTTAAGCTTTTTTTTTTCAATTGTCTACAGAACAAACCATCATTTTACAATAACTTGCCTAATTACCCTAACCTGCCTAGTTAACCTAATTAACTAAGTTAAGCCTTTAAATGTCACTTTAAGCTGTATAGAAGTGTCTTGAAAAATATGTAGTAAAATATTATTTACTGTCCTCAAGGCAAAGATAAAATAAATCAGTTATTTAAAATGCGTTATTAAAACTATTATGTTCAAAAATGTGTTAAAGACATCTTCTCTCCGTCAAACAAAAATTAGAGAAAAAAAAACAGGGGGGCTAGTAATTCAGGAGGTTTAATAATTCTGACTTCAACTGTATATGTGATGATATTCTCTTCATCTTCTTCTCTCTATCTACTTCAGAAGTGTATTTATTGAGAAAATTGCTCAAACAAATGCTGTTAATTGGCAAAGCTCTCCCCAGTTTAAAATATTAAAATGATTTATAATCTACCTTTTTGTTATTTTATTTTACTTATCAACATTATTGTAATACCAACATACTACATTATTTAAAAATATTAATAATAAAATCATGTTAAATATTAATAAAAACGTTTCTGCTTGCTAATCCTTAATAGTTTTGGGTTTCTAAAAGCAAACATTTTCAAAGCAAGATTGTCTGTAAATATGCCTAGGAATTTTATATATTTAATGCTTACTCTAAACTTTAAATTGTTTTAATATTAATGCTAGAATTATTATAGTACACTGACAAAAGTCTAGTTGCCTGTCCATGTTTTAGGAAAAACAAATAATAATTTGACCTCTAGTTGATCATTTGGTATCATAAGTGGCTTATATGAAAGGCAAAGGCCTCTAGATTATTCTTATTTTACTAAAATATAATCTGAGCATGCCTTGTTTTTTAATTATTTTATTAGGACAATAAGGTCTGACTTTGCTTAGACAAAAGTCTTGTCACTTAACAGAAATAATGTACATTTTAGTATATAAAGTCATGGTGCAGTGGAGAAAGAATTAATATTGTGTATGACTCCCATGAGCTTTGAGGACTGCATCCATACATCTCTGCAGAGTCAAAAAACTTATTAACAAAGTTATCTAGAATGGCAAAGAAAGCATTCTTGCAGGACTCCCAGAGTTCATCAGGATTCTTTAGATTCATCTTCATTGCCTCCATCTTACCCCAGATATGCTCAATAATGTTCATCTCTGGTGACTGGGCTGGCCAATCCTAGAGCACCTTGACCTTCTTTGCTTTCGGGAACTTTGATGTGGAGGCTGAAGTATAAGAAGGAGCGCTATCCTGCTGAAGAATTTGCCCTCTCCTGTGGTTTGTAATGTAATGGGCAGCACTAAAGTCTGTATACCTCAGGCTGTTGATGTTGCCATCCACTCAGCAGTTCTCTTGCACGCCCCAGACTGAACGTAACCCCAAACCATGGTTTCTCCTTTACCAAACTTTACAGATTTCTATGAGAATCTTGGGTACATGCAGGTTGCAATAGGTCTTCTGCAGTATTTGTGATGATTGAGACAATAGTATCTGGATGCAGCCTTTATGATACAAGCTGAGACTGCATCACTCAGCTATGCAACGTCAGACACAATGCACTCAATGGAGCTGGTGACGTCACTGTGACGGGTAGGGTTAGGGGTGGGGTTAGGTGAGCCCATTAAAAAGCATTGGATGCAGCTCAGATTGCACCGCATCAGGTCTGCATCCAGACCCCTCTCGATTGAGATGCACTTCAGATGATTCATTGAAAAAACCTGCCTTCTGCCACTTTTCTAAATGATCAACTAGAAGTCAAGTTATTACTTGTTGCTCTTACAATATTGAGATGTTACAACTGAGGTAGTGTATATGGCTCATAATATCTTAAGTATCTGTACTTATACAAGGATAACAGGTACACAATGGTATCAAAAGTTTGAAACCTCCTGGAATAACACATACTCTTCTTCATTACAAAACATTATTATAAACGACGCTGTAAATAACGTGTAATGCAAATACTTTATGAATCACAATAAATACATACTCCCAGCCATTTCTGCATGTGTTTCTCCAGCCTGAGAATAAATAGCTGTGGGCCATTCGCCATCTGATCAGTGTCTCTGTGTCCTTGTGAGACCCTGAAACAAACAGTACAGTACAAATTACTCTATATTTACTGTGACAGGATGTTATATACACATACGCAGTCAAAACAAACTAAACCATGACAACTGTCAGTCACGAACAAATCCTTATTTTACCTAAAGCATATGCAGATATTAAGTGGATGAAGCGAGATTTATATCACGCGCGAATTATGAATTAAGTCATAATGGAGAGTTGGAGAAATGTGCGAAAGTTTGTCATTGATGCAAACAGACACAGTGCAGGTTAGCACAACGACACTCACACTGTTGAGACGGTTGAGCCATTTCTTAAAGACACACACAGAGAGTGAGAGGTGGCCAAGCTCCTCTTATGATAGAGACAGTAATGCCATGTTTTTGTTTTCTTTCACTTCTTCAACAAGGGTCTGTGTCGCGGACAGCACTTCTTCACAGCTTCTCCCGTTTCTAATGAACGAACGAATTGTTCCAGCTTATGCCCTCTAGCGGTCAGGAGAAAAAATGGCTATATTATATTATATGATATTATATTATATTATATTATATTATATTATATTATATTATATTATATTATATTATATTATATTATATTATATTATATTATATTATAATATTATGCTATATTAATGGGTTTTTGTAATACAAAAAATATATAAAAATTATTTGGAAATTATCAAATTTTGGTTATTTTTCCCCCTTTTACTTACTTTAATGCTATATTTATTTACTTGTTTAAATCACATTATTATTTACTAATTGACTGCTATTTTAACCCTTGAAGGTGCACTCCTTGAAAAAAAAGTTCTGGCCCATGCTAGCATTGAATAATATACTGACACAACTCATAAATAGTAATAAGCAATTTTAAAAAATAATGATAGTCTATGGATAAAAGGTCAACCAGGTGGTTAAGATGCTTGTTAAAGGGTTAGTCATGTTTTTGTATTATTTTATAACTGCCCAAATGGACAAAATACTATAGTAGTTTGAGGTAAATATCTTTTTAACCTAAATTAATTTGTTGTGGCAATTCCATTGTTGCTGAAATGGTAACAGGACAACTATTGATACGAACAAATGACCCAGTACTACAGTTCTCTGCAATTTTAAGGTATATGGACCACAGGTTACTGTAGTAAAACCAGAGTATTATCAGTTCATTCATTCGTTCATTTTCTTTTCGGCTTAATCCTTTTATTAATCCGTTAGGAGACAGCACTACCTACTGCGCCACCTAGTATTATCAGTTCAATACAATATTCTGTAGCATTCATTTACAAAGAGTTGCAAAAACATTATATACAGTATAAAACATTTTACTAATATAGTACAAAAAGACTACTATATATTACTATAGTATTTTTCATGCAGTCATGATAACAATAAAATAAGCATCTTCATATCAATTTGTTCATCTCTTAGAGATCATAAGTCTACAAATTTAGTGAGATATTGAGTTTTACTAAATAAATATGAAGCGAAGCCTTAAACAAAACTGATATATTCATTAATTAAAATTTACATTTTAAACAAAGATTTTAACAAAATGTACATTTAAATAAATGTATAACTGAAATTAAGTCAAAATCATACAATATAAACATTACATTTTAAAAGAAAAATTAGAATTGTTGTCTTACTGAAAAAAGATAAAGATTAAAACTGATTTGAACCTAAATAGTGACATTTAACATATTGTAAAAGCACATTACAAAATCGCTTACCAAAAACTTTATTCATAACATAATTTATTATGCAATCATAATATTGCTTTATTTATTTAGATTCTTTCACTTAAGTAAACAAAATGACAGACAAACAGTGAGACTGGTAGATTCATGCTAGATTTATTTTACAGCTTTACTTTTTTGTGTGTCCTGATAATTTTACTTTTTATTATCAGAGCATTCATTATTACCATAATTCACACATGACACTCTAAAATGTGTAACAAGTTTATAAAACACAAATATTCATTTTAAATATTTGTACCTTCAGGTTATCCATAAAGCCACTAAATTTGACACGTTTGTCACTAAAAATATCAATTTAGTATGATCATGTTATACATACATACATATATATATATAATTAATAATATTATTTTTTTTAAATCAATTAAAAATCGAATCACTTTTGTCACATCATCAGCAGCACGTTCTATGATGAGTGAAAAGCTTAGGTGCTGGCTCCATACAGTACAAAATACAGACAGTGCAAATAAAATGGCGGTGCAAAATACAGACAGTGCAAATACAACGAAAAGTGGGGGAAATATATATATATAACACAACATGTCAGAATAAATTAGGAATATTGTTTCACCTATTTTGAAATTTTGTTTCCCTATTTTTTTTTTTTAAATATTAAAATAGACACTTTACTTGTATTGCATTTAATGTGATTTCTAAATAAAATAATTTATTTTAAGTGTAAATACTATGAAAATTAATAGGTCACATTTGTGACTGCAACATAGTACAAAACTGTAAAATCCCTCATGTGTTCTTTCATTCAAAGACAAGAAAGTGGACCCCGTTTCTTGTGTTTTGACATTTATTTTATGACAAAAAAGGTACACTTTACATACAGACACTGATATATTACATTAATTCACAAATAACACTCCACCTTTCAGCCTTTATACAGCAGTAAACAAGTCTGAAACACATTTTATTTAAGTGACCATGTGGATTCTGTCGATGCTTGCAACAATTAAAATCCACTCACCGAATGTGACCAAATCTGGAGTGAAAAATACTAAAAATATGTAACAACAATTATTTTAATATACACAAAAACGACACATTAAACTGTATCTTCAGACTTTAGACCTGTGACAGTTTCTGTCTTCAAATTTTTTCAATCACCCTCTCGAGTAAGATTATTAACTTTTCTCTGTTCTTCTCATGAGGACAGTCCAGTCCATTGCAGCTTGAACTGCTTTTCACGTGATTTGTGAAATCCGTCGACCTTCTGTTTCTTTCGAGGGCCGCTCTGTCGTTCACCAAAGCTTCTCTGTCTTTCTGCAGTCGGGCTCTGTCCTGTTCCAGTGATGCCTTGTCTCTATTGACCGCTGCTCTGTCCTTCTCCACCTGGACTCTGTCCCGCTGAAGAGCCGCTCTTTCTCGTGCCGCAAGGGCCCTTTCCCGCTCCAACAGGGCCTTTTCTCTGTCTAGACCCCCTAATTCCTTCTCTAAAAGCTGTCTTTCTCTTTGAAGTCTGGATCTCATGATATCCAGCGAATGACCTTCTGTTATGAGCTGCTTGCCCTTTTGTGTTCCTGGTTTGTGTGTTCTGGATGGTGGTGGTATGTTCACTGATGATCCTTCCTCTTCCAGATACTCCAAAATTTCACCTCCGACTTTAATCTGTCGTAACCTCTTACCCGTATGAGGTGTTGTATTATTTTCAGGTTCTGATGCGATCACTTGCTGGCTGATTTTATCATCAAACTCTTTCCCCAAAGCATCATCCATGAGATTGAACCATTTCCAGCAGGTGGGGTTCTTCTCAACGCCAGAGGGGGGATACCTTGCATCCTTGTGATGAATTGTAAAATGTATTAAACTGTTGAATGTTGCGTGAAGCATTTTGGAGGTGAAAAAATGCAATTGGTTTTTGGGCAAACCTTATATCTCGCCTTCAGGTTTTCCCACTTTTTGGCCATCTGCTCTGTTGTCATCCTCTCGTCAAGCCCCATTTCTCTGAGTATTGCACTGGAAAATAAATCAACAAAACGATAACGTGATTCAAACGCATAATCTGACAGATTATGTCAAATATGCTATGCTTATAAACGGCACCTCCACGCTGTTTTGGATGAATTTTTCCTCCCATCAAAAAGCGCTGAGTTGCTGGATCGCAGCTGGATCAGTTTTGTGATGTCCTCATCAGACACTAGTGCACATCAAACAGACAGTTGGTTAGCTTTATGCGCACGTTGCTAATTAGTTTCGCGCAATAACGAAAGACTTACTTTTATAGATGAGTTTGGAGGTGGTCGGTGCTGATTCCATATTTTATATTACTTCGTAAAACAGATTTCTAGGGCCCTTAATAGTGCACGTTGGCAGTGTGCTTCTCTTAACATTCCATCCTGGGGAAAATGGCGCCGCGCGAGCACAGGATAGGCTGCCTACTAAGTGCCCTTATTTTGAAGGAGTACAAATGCGCTCCTAAATTGCATGTATAAATATTTTTTAAAAGTTAAATTTAATTTGAGCTAAAAAGATCTTTGTGCTATGATAACATTAAACTCAAACAAACTAACGAGCACTTGGTAAATATGTATACTGATTAGGCTATAAAGGACATACCAAACACCAAAGAAAGATGATTAGCATTAAAATGGGCTTGGACCGAAGTATATTTGTAATGATTAAAAACAATACTTGTAGTTATATTAGGTGTGATTTCGTTTTAAAACATCATTAAAGTCTCTTTCATCATTAAAGACAAACTTTCTGAATTATAGTTCAGATCTTAAAGATTTACGAGGAATAACTAACAACTGTGATTGGTCTACGGCGAACAGCGTTGAGAAAAATAACATACATCACAAGACCATGTAATCATGCGACAGCTGATACTTTTCTCATCGATTAAGATCAGATTTGACTCATAACAAGCATTTGTTAATCGTGCAACAGCAGTTTGTTGGCGTTAACGTTACCAAATTATCCGATAAAGAAGTTATCATTTGCCTGTAAATCACAACGTTATTAATGTAAATGTTGAAAAAACATCGAGTGAAACCACCTATTAAAACCTTCTTGAATGATTCGGATTCATTGAGCGCCTCCTAGAGGAGGAAAAAGACAAACACTGAAGGTTTTTCAACCAAAGATAAAGGTAAGAAATGAGTCAGAAGTTTCAATCCAATGTAAACAGTTAAACGACAAAACAAAATAATATTTTAAATAGTATTTGGCTTTAAGGCAATGTGACAGATGCACAGTGAAAGTTGAAGAGTTAATATCTCCACTTAATTGACAGTTTGTCATTTGATTTATTTAAACTTATTAAATAAATATGTTCGTGTATCTTAACACAATAACAACAAAGCCTACTAAAATATTTTAAAATATCAAATATAATTTACATTTTAATTTTATATATATCAAAATATCGCTTTTTTGAAAACTTTGGAGACAACAAACAATTGTCCCTTTTATATGCAAACGACTAATTATGCAGTGTTGTGTATACCGCATCAGTAGTTGGCGATGCTGCTGTACATAAAGTATGTGGTCCTATAGTCGGTCATTGTTTTTGATTGTCAGTTACTCAATTAATTATTTTTTGTTGTTTAATTTGTGACAATGATGGTATTATTCTTTGAGACAGAAAAAATGATATACGTTGTAAATGAATGGCTAAAGCACATTAAACATTTTGTATTTTCGTTGAAATCGTCCTATAAAACAACAGCTTATTTCTTCTGCCCCAGTTCTTTATACAGCAACAGCTTGTGTGAAATTTCAATGAATGCACTTGACCTTTAAAAGCTCTGCTAAACTATTAATAATACAGGGGGACTTCTTCTCTAATGAGGAAACAGTCAACATGTCCTGTCAGGATGGAGAGTGTCCACATACAATTCATCACCTAATTGGATGAGAGAGATGTGGTCTAGTTAATGCTAGTTGGATGGTTGTGGATGTATGGCATTCAGTTTGTGCCAAAAACGTGTCATCTGTTCCATTGTAGACTGTGCAATACATTTGTTCATGTTTCTCTCTAACATTTGAGTCTTCTTCACTTTTGTTTGCGGTCCTTTGAAGTACTTTGAAAGTACCTTGAGCATTTTTTAATAGAAATTTGACATAATCTCAACTGAAACATGCAGACAGGGTGGCACCTCCCCTTTATTAAAAAAACAGCCAATGCTTTGTTTTTATCACAAATCTGCTAGTTAGAGTCGTTTATATCAAGTGCATTAAAAGAAGATAAGAAGCATCTTACAGGGCATTGGGCATGTCAGAAAGAGCATTTAATTGATCAGACTATTTGATGAGAAACTAAAGTATGAGGCGATATAAACAAAAAAATGTTGATCTGTCTAAATGAGCTGTCACTGTTTTAAAACACACTAGCTTATAGTTATTCATTAAAAATAAAATACCGCTACCAACATTAAAAAGCTTTCATTTTAATTTCATGGGACCATTTTCTGTTTTTAAAATTACTGATTGAAGAGAAAATTCTGCAGTTTACTTTACAGAAATCCCCAAATATTAGTTATTTATCAGTAAACTTATGTATATTGTAGAATGTCAAGTGTAAAACAAGTGATGTTTTATAAACAAATTTTGGGAGGAGCACGATCAGTCTTTGACGAGGCTAATTCATCATACACACAATCATTCTATTATCCAATCAGCTCGAGCAAACCCTTATAAATAGTCAAACACGTAATACCTCCATTTTCTCTTGACTTCAGCATCCCTCCACCACCCCAACTCCTCACTTTTAAACCAGATACCTATTTAAATCTGAAGGGAGAGCATTCTGGAGCAGTGCTGGACACTGCACTCGGACTTTATCTCTCTTTATCCTGATAAGGGGAAAAACACGAGTTAGGGTATATTCCCATGCTCAGAGCCCTCTCCCCGTACAGCAGGCCAAATACACATTCTATTCAGTAAAATATCTGTGAGTGAGAACTTGTGAAGTGCAAGGCAAATTTCATTGCTTGAATATTAGTTTTATATGAGTTAATGGGTTTGTTTTGAGCTTCTCGACTTCATTTTACAAGTTCATCTTGACTTCTCAATACTTTTCAGTGTTTAGACACGTTTACAACCTTGCCTCCTGCAAGTGGGAGTGTCTGAATGTTCAAAACAGTACTGTAGATGATAAAGCGAAAAAATAAACAAAAAAGACATCAAGGCTGTTTCCCAATGTGTGTTCTTCAGCGGTTTTGCATTCTCGTCTTCTCATGTAACGTCATCATCAACCACCAAAGTTCAGTTCTAAAACTTATGGACGGTAAACGCGTTAAAATGTTCTCGGATGTGTTATTGGTATCGAGGATGCACTGATGCAGACTTGAGCACCAAACTCACTCTAGAAGTCCCAGAAGGGTGGGAAGTGCAGCATTCTATACCTGATTATAATTAATGTTCGGAGATATAACTTATTTATCTCACGAGTATCCCTAAATGAGATGGTAAAAGTAAACAATACGATGAAAATTTTCCCAAAGTCATAAACCAATGTAAGATGTTTATTAGCTGAAATCCGTATTAAAATCTGTTTTATTTGTTTGTGCCATAAGTATATTTGTAAAGTTTTTGTGCATGTTATAAATATATATTGAAAAGGGGAAAAAACAATAAATCATTGTATAAATGCTGTAATGTTTAAATTATTCTCCAATCAAAAATGTGTGAAGGTCTTGTGACCATTGGGAAGGTCATGTGACCATCAACGTCCTCCACAAGAATGCAAGTCCGTTCACTGCATTCTTGGAATTGAGAAACAGCCCAAGATTCAATGAAACACCATGAATCGGTCATCTTTATTTTGAGTCCTCCTTTTGCTACAACAGAACATGCTCTTAAAGAGACAACACCCCAACACTTGCAACTCACAGCCAAACTTAAAAAGAGGAAACAACAAGAACTGCATGTGAATTCTGTCACATCCACAAATGCATGTTGCCACAATACCTTTTCAAATGTCTTTTTACTCTTAAATGAAAGACAAAAAGGAACTTCGCTTAGGAAATTAGGTTGTGAATTGATTTATGGGATCTTGATCTCTCCTCTGTTGACTTTTTATGTTGAAAAATTCACCTCTATGATTTAACAAAGTGGCTTTCACTGAGATTTTAGTCATTTTAAACAATATAATGTAAACGTAATAGTATATAAGAAAGAAGTCTAAAATATCAGAAAATGTACTGGGAGTTTATCAGAAGATTTTTGTATCAACCCAGACAATATGTCACTTTAAACTAATAAAAATGTGAATACGTTACTTTTTGAACTTTTTAAAGTTAAAAGTTGCTGGAAGAAAGATCAAGGTCGTATAATGCAAAATTCAAAAGCATAAAAAAATGGGAAAGTTAAAAATAAAACATGAATCACAAAATATGAAAATATGCTAATTTACAGATGTTTTTATAGTGTAGGCACAAATGTGTATCACAAAGCAGTCAACTTGTTTTTGGCACAAATGGAACCCCATACACAAGTGGACCATTAAAATGAGTACAACTCTTTTCCATCGATCTATCAGCCCTTCTGCTTTATCATATTGATATTGAAATGCATTTGGCCTTGTGGGTTCAGTCATGTAAAAGGGTGTCCTTTGTTGTCCAGCGTGTGGCAAGGGGGCTAATCTCAGTGCATATGTCCTTAAAAGCACTGATGCTGTTTTCCTCTTAAATTATTAAGCTTCTTCAGCGGCTTTAAACCATTGAGAGAAGATTAGTGAGGTTATTCTGTGACGGTGTGTTTGTGCCTGCGCGTGCGTGAGTAAGGTTGATGCTGTATTCGTGTATTCATTCTCTTCACATAAAATGCTAGTCATTTTCTGAATGTAGAGCACTCCAATTTAAACTAATTACTGCTAAAAAAAATTTAAAAGGATAGTTCACACTAAAATGAAAATCCCTCATGTGGTTTTAAACCTTTATGAGTTGCTTTGTTCTGTTGAACACACAAAAAAATATATTTTGAAGAACGCTGATTGCTCAAAGTCATGGAAGTCAATGGGCATTTTTCACATATCTTCTTTGTTTTGAACAGAAAACAGAAACTCAAATAGGTTGTGAACAAGTGAAGGGTGAGTAAATGATCTAATGAACTATCCTTTTAAATGTTTGCACAAAAAAATATTAGATTTGGGGCCTTTTGTTATGCAGATCCTCATTTATTAAACTCATAACCACAAGATGAGTGGAAAATTGAATATATTATTTTTAAATTTCTCCTTAAGACCCAATTTTAGGCAGGTTTTTATAGTGATTGTAACGTTGAATGAACGTTGTGTATATGTTGTAGGGTGTCATGTATAGCACCTATAAATAAAATTAATCAATAATACAAATTTTGCAATTAAAATCTACATCTGGATCAAAGCCAGATTTA